CTACACTCTACACTCTACACTCTACACTCTACACTCTACACTCTACACTCTACACTCTACACTCTACACTCTACACTCCACACTCCACACTCACCGAAAAGATGTTTGTAAACTGCTGGTAAACTAAACGATAGAGGTTTATTTTGCAGAGGAGGATAAAGAACGTCAGGTTTAGCTTGAAGTGGAGAACTGAGGACATCAGGTTTAGTCATCTTAATCTCGATTTCGTTACCATCTTCTAAAGAATCAAACGGATATAATTATTGGGTTTAACGGGAAACAATTTCAAAAAATGATCCGACGCAGAATTTCTTCTGGGGTAATTACTCGCTTCAGCCTTCCTCGCTATGCACATCCTTGAAATCATTGATTGTTCAGCAGATCGACCCATCTAGCATCCAGGAACAAAACCTTTTGGCTTTTAACTTTATGAATTTATAATTGGAATTCTGCTATTATTAACCCTTGCAGGCAAAGCTAGGTTTCCAAGCTTGTTTTGAATAAAATAAATGACAAAACTAACAAAAATTCAACTTTTCATTGTTTAATGTTTTTCCCTATATTTTATAAGCGAGCGCCTAGCAAGGAATATAAGCTCATTAACTCAAAATAATTAAAAAGTATGTTTCACAAATTCCAGATTTAATGCGGTTAAAGATAGATTTGTACACTGAAGGAACAGCAAGTGAAGATGTCTATGAACAGCTTGTCTAGTTCGGGAATCCAGGCAATTTTTGTTAAAAAGTCAATCTCTCCATTCAGAGTTTTTTAACTAAGCAAAGACCATTTCACATGTTTTACCGAGATCCTTAATCACAATTTAAGGCAAGTCAGTCCAGGGGTTCTTGAGTTATGATCAGATTTTAAAAAAAGATATTACTATTTTACATTTATAGATTCATTGTCTTACCTTTCAATCCGGGGCGTTTTTTAGCGCTATGAGGTGGAGTCATGAAAGGAGACTGCTGTAGGAGTCCATCTTGTTTAGTGGGAGTAGAAAATTCATGGCTACAGTGGAGTACATTCAGAAGGCACTCATCGGCTCTAGATGATATGCTGGAACAATCTTCTTGAGAAAAGACGGAACTTGAGTCATTGCCAGATTGAATGTAAATAATAAATTCTCTCTCACAGTAAATGCAAATTTCTGTATCACCTTCTTCACAGACACAAGATTGCTCATTCTCATTCTTATTCTCATCATCCTCTATCTCTGGAAGTTCAAGAGAAAAATGAGGCTGGGAGTCATGAGGTGTCTTGCGCCGAACTTCCAGTTTAGCTTTATAATCAGCTTCAGCTAAAAAATTATCTATCACCGATAATTTCATCAGTGCCTTAGTTTCCGGTCTCTGGGTTGTCCAGCGTTTAGCTTCATGTTCAGCTTCAAGAACAGCTAGAAGCGCTTCAGATTCCGGGTTAGTTACCAACCCATCCCGGCCAGGCAATTTTAATATTGGGCTTGTCTGTGTTTTGTCAGTGTCCGGTTTCTGGGTTTCGTTTTTTGTGATTTCCGGTTCTAGAGCTGCTATAGCGGAAGTGTTGGGTATCTTGACCTCTGTAAAGGGGAGAGGACGGGCAACTTTGGAAAAAGATTCTGAAAAAAGAAATTCATTATTTTTTTCCATAAAATAAGGCTATTAAGTGGTAGCAGAAAATTGTTAGGAAAAATGTTATTATTTAATATTGTTTTTTAATAACAAATAACAAATTATGAGACTGTAAAGACGACCTGAAACTTATAAAAATTGACGATTTAAAAAAGTTTTCTGTCTTGAGCTTAATGATTTAAACGATTTAATTAGATAGAAAATTTTTTTACAGTTGCAGAGGGAATCATGAATATAAGGAAAAGACAGTGTAAATTCCGTGAATTCGGTAAATTCCGTAAATTCCGTAAATTCCGTACAACCGTGTCTGAAGTTTTATCCTATGAGGGGAACTATGTATCTGATTAAATCCGTTTTTCTTTAAAGTTTACTTTTTTGTTAAAGAAACTCTCAAAAATAATGTTGACAGTCCCTTTAAATCCTCAAATGTGCATCGTGGTCGGCGTTTATATCAATACAATGAACCCGACTTTTCGATTTAAGTTTTGATTTCTAACAGGCTTTTTTTCAAATTACAAGTTTACATGTAAACAAAGAGAAGATGTTAATTGACAGCTTCTCCTTGTTTCCATGTTTATGTGCATTGTGTATCCATACTGTTTGAAAGCTTGGTAGAAATAAATATTGAGATCGAAAGTCGTCTTTGTTGTATTGATATATCCTACGAAGACTATAGATGTGACCTGGCGTGAATCCGCTGGTCTGGATTTCTCTCTTTTTGTAGAAATCTCTCAAAAAAACAATAGAATCCACTCCCAGGATATCTTCACGTAGTTTCAGTCTAGTCAACATACAGATTAGTTAATCCACTTACCAGAATTAAGAATGAATTTAACTAATTCCGTTCATTCATAAATTCCTAGCTAAGTTTATTCATAATTTTAGGCAAACAGTAAACACACAGTTTCAATCTGACAAACATATTTGTTAATTACCTTTACTGAAGAAAATAAGATTAACTATTTATTCATAAATTCCTGGCCTAGTTTATTTATAATTTTCAAGTAAACCCTTTCAACTGAAAACGCAGCTAGTAATGTTAAACATTAAACATTGCTTTTCTTACACTATGCCAAACTTTGACTTCGAGATAATATATAAAAATCAAACAAGAACTATCGATTTTTGGTATACATTTTGGTATACATTTTGTTTGTTTTTTAAGGATAGAAATAGAATATTGCAAAGTTTAATTAAATTTAAATTTATCAAATACAGGTCTGAAATAATGCAAGTTTTATCAAAAGTTCTGAAAAAAAACCAACCGAAACGATTAACACTTCTATGTACATTGTACAGTACACATACAGACTATCTAAAGCCAAACGGGACTGTACACTGTACACGGGACTGTACACTGTACACGGGACTGTACCACATTTTATTTGATTATATACCCCTTTATTTTAAAGGCTCAATGGTCATAAAAAAAATCGTTGACAGTCCTACCCAGCTCTCTCCATCTCCTTCTGCAGTACAGGGAAATCAAACCGGTTTCCATTGTGCGCCACCAGGCAAACAGGCCCGCCCAACGATTCAAGGAATCTTAAATAAAACTTTTATATAACTGTCAGTCTTAAGCCAAATATTTTGATCTGACAAATTTTTATCTAAAAAAATTGACAAAAAGGAAGTTTAAAATAAATTAATTTCAATCATTTCAAAAGCTTCCTGAAAATGGAAAGAAAAATCTCTAATTTCAATATTTTTAGTCAAAGATAAAAATCTAATGATTAATAATACATATTAAGATAAAAATTGTCATTCAATTATTTTCAAATTTTCAAAGCTCAGATCCAGTAAGAAAAATAACTAATTTCTATAATATTTTCTTTTAAATTTCGAATTTTAATTTTAGCAAAATTTATTTTCTTCTTTTTAGCTGATCATACTTTTATTTTAATTTCTATAGATTAAATAATTCTCTGTGTAAAATAACATTCTTAACAAATTAAAAAAAGCTATTTTTTGTTGAACTAACCTTCCAATGGTTTGCGCGGGCCCATCTTTAAATTTAGCCTGGTGTTCCAAGCTGTAATTACTTAATCCTATTAAAATGGATTTTTGTTAAAAACAACTTTAATTGTATATTATATATCTTATATTGGATTTTTATAAGTTTAATTGTTTTTAGTTTGCTATTTGCTGTTTGCTGTTGGTTGTGTTGTTGGTTTTTGGTTGCTGATTTTTTCTGTTTGCTGTTTGCTGTGTGTTATTTGTTGTTTGTTGTTTGTTGTTTGTTGTTTGTTGTTTGTTGTTTGTTGTTTGCTGTTTGCTGTTTGCTGTTTGCTGTTTGTTGTTTGTTGTTTGTTGTTTTTTGTTTGATGTTGATATATAATTTATAATTATAACTATGATAAATTTATTTATATAATTTTGTTGGTTTCTACATGCAACGTCTTTAAACTGGTAAGTACTAAAATATGGTTTTGAAAAGAGGTGAATAATGATATATATAATGAGATACTAATTTATATTTAAAAAGAATATACTCCGGAAATAGAGAAAAAGATCAAATTCCCATATTATTTAGGACCGGGTTAGTTTTTTATGACCTTCATATCCATTATATATATATATATATGTCGTATATGTATTTTGAATAATATATGTTGAATAGTACCGGGGAGGAGGGGCCTAGGGATGGTTCAAGATGAGCAGACTACAGAGGGGGGGGGGGTAGGGTTACCAGTCTGTTCCACCGTCCTAGAGGGCGGAGTTATATTGTAAATAAAGGGGGGAGAAGGTTGCGGTCAGTTCACCCCCCCCCCCTACACCATGCTCTATTCACATACTAAGCAGCTAAAACCAGTTTCCCTACAGAACTCGTAAAGTCAACCTACTCCATGATTCCTGTTTAGTATTCATACATCCGTTCAACCTTTTCTCACTGTGTGTGCTAAAACTAGAACCCAGAGTTACGATGATGTCAGCAGATCAGTCCTGGATCCTCTCTAGCTATTACAGGTAGTGCCTTCAGTTGGTTCATTTTTATAAGGAGTTTTTAGTCTATATTTTCAAGTTTTGGCAAAGTGTAAGAAATTTTTTTTTTTAATTCTATCTGTTCTATCTGAACCTTTTCATTTCTTACAATAGATCAAATTTTGATTCTGGCAGAAGAAATATGCAAATTAAGAAAGATGTTTCAACGATCAGTTTTGGATTATATATCAATTTTTTTAGTTTAAAATAAGAAAATTTGACCATAATGCAGTATCAAAACAAAAATAAAAACTCCTTAACTGTTAAAAATATTACAGGGACCTGGAGGCGGCGGAGAGAAACGCCGGTGGCGGAGGAAACCAGGAAACCTTCTTCCTTCCCGGATACAACCCTGGGGCGGAGTTTCAGGGATACAGAGGAACATCCGCCGAAGATTCCTACGCCGCCAATCCTCAGCAAAATCCTTCACAGCAGCAGCAGAGCAGATCTAGTGAGCAGCAGACAACCAGGTCTAGTGAACTCAGGTTTAGTGAGTTTGGAGGACGGGAACTAGGTTCTAGTGAGTTCAGAGGACGGGAGATAGGATTCGAGGAAAGGGCAAACGGATCAGGAATGTTTCTATATTCTGAACTATTATGATATTATTTTTATCAATCTGGGTTAATTAGTTTGCTAATTCTAAATCTAATAAACCAATTTAGAAGAGTTCAGATTAAGAAAATAGACTTTTAAGAGTTTGGTGGCTCTTCGGAGTTTGGTGGCCAGGACATTACTTCAAATCAGTTTGGTGCAAGAGATATCGGCTCACCGGGAACACAGGAGGAAACGGCCGGACGATTCTTACACCACAATATTATTTCGGCCGGAACCAGATCGAGAGAGGACGGAAAACGCACGCAGCAACCTGAACAGCGCGCGCAGACAACTAAACGACAAACCGACGCGGAGCTTGCAGCAGAGTGTCAACGAATCGTGGATCGACTGTACGCGTCACTGAACCAATAGTTTTTTATATAAAGTCAACAATATTGTGAAAATGATAAATACATTAGAAAATAAAAAATATTAGAAAATAAACCTGTTATTTCCTCCGCCATTGGATCAATTCTCTTCATTGGATTTACCGCCAGGGTCAGCTTGCTTAGTACTCTAGAAAAATAGATTATTTTACCTTTAAATTATTTTGGAAAACGTAGAATTTGAAAACTTAATTTGAGTTGACACTAACATTTTGTAATAACTATGTGCTTATAATTTGTCAATCAAATCAAATGGGATGGCTTAAGGCACCTAAATGTAGTTTCAAATTATGCCAAAATCCGGGTTTTTCAGCCCCATCTCTACCAATGTTATACTATATTTTAATGAGAATTACAATTTTAGTCATACTAGGCTTTTAGGGAGCTTCGCGCTCATCTTCTATTTAAATTGTGAACATGTCCTTTTTTTTACATTTTATAACAAGGAAGAAAAAATTTTTGCGGATTTTAAAAAAATCGCGGATTTTCAAGAATTTAATTTTTTTACAAAATTAAAAACCTTTAAAACACATTTTTTTTATCATTCGTAATCCTTCCCTGTGGTCACGTGATGTCCCAAGCCGTTTTGACGTTTATTGGATACAAACAGACAGACAAGCCAAATTTATATATAGATGACGAATTCTGTTTAAGTGAAAGAAAACCGGATTTAAGTTTGGTATTGCTTTTGCAGGTGAAGATCACAGCACACGACAAATTACCAAATTTGAGCCATTTTGCCACTTCAGCGTACCCAATCTACTGACGAAATATTAGGTATTGTATATCCATGACACAATTGCCTTTATTTCAAATCATTAAAAACTGAATTTTTTTAAAGAGGGTTTTTTGAGTATTTCAAAATACGTATAAATCTTTATTTTTGAAGATTTAAAGATTTTATATTAGATATTAATTATTTTATTTTATTTTTTATTATATTTCATTCAATTGTGAAGGCATTAGATTGGTTAACATACGTTTTGTAAATCGCATGAATAAGAACATTTTGACTACTATTTTTATGTTTTTAAACTTAACTGGCCAAGTTTAAAAATAAAATAAAAGTGTCAAGTTTGATTTTAAACATCTAATTGAGTATAGTGAGTTATTCATCGTTGTTTTTCTTATAGCATGTTTCATTGTCCCTGTATCATAACTCGCAATGTACATTTATAGAGAAACCACAATTGAAATGTTGTTTTTCTAAAAGACAAAAAAGAATTTCTCATTCATCCTTGTTCAGATTTTTTAAGGATACCGTAGAACCTTAAAACTGAATCGAATATGAATGAAATTCACTTGAAACTATCAAATATAAATTAAGTTCACTTGAAGCTATTTCTCCAAGCCCTTGGAACTTAAAATATTGACGTTATTATTTCACTGTTCATGAATTTAAAGAGATCCTTGTAAGAAGAATTACAATAAACAATAAGTAACACTTAACTTTTGTAGTCTACTGTGTTAATTTTGGATTAATCTAATTTAACTATTGTTTTGGTAAACCCTGCCATATTTTTAAAGCTACACTATATTATTTATTATAATCTTTATTTCTAAATCACGTAGAAGATCGGAAATTGACCAAACAAGCAAAATCCGTGTTTTTGTCTGAGAATACTTGTATGTTCTCTTTCATTAAGAGTTCCCCAACGTACGCTAATCCTTTACTAATTGTATAGGCCATAAACTAAACCGAGAGCGCACTGCATATTTCGTTTTGTATAAGTTGATTCTGGCCTAACCTAAAGTATATCAATATTAGTAAACAGTTGTAAGTGTACAGTACTGCAAACTGAGCGCACAGGTAGAAAACTATCATCCCCCCTGGGGTTCCCTTTGTGTGAAGTGTTGTTAATAGTTTTTTTTTTCTTTTTGATAACTTTTAATATAACTTCAACATTTCAAAATTGGATTCTGTTAAAGTTTGTTTTTCAAAAAGAGAAAAAATATACAGGGTGTCTCAAAAAAACGGGGACTAAGGGTTTGCAGACTCGTTTGAAATCGGATTTTCAAGATTAAGACCATTTTTAATATCTACGTACAATTTCCAATTCAATAAGCCCAATTTTAGACTTGCAGATCTAAAAATGTTGATTTTTTAGGCTTATATAGTTTCCAATTAGAGTGAGTAAATTTGGTAAGAATAAAAATAATTTCAGTTTGCACAATTTTGTTTGTAATCGGATTTTCAAGATTGAGACCATTTTTAATATCTACGTACAATTTCCGATTCAATAAGTCCAAATTTAGGCTTGTGCTTGTAGATCTATAAATAACAATTTAATAGGCTCCTAAAGCTTCCAACTGGAGCTAGTAAAAAGTAAAAGATAATCTCAATTTAAACAATTTTGTATACAATGTTGGGCTACAGTTTATTACAATCTTATTCAAAATGTCCACCATTATAGCAGCAAGACACTTTTGGGCCCTAGATTTATCTTCAAAAATAGCCTTTAGAGACAGCAGGGCAACTATTTTTCTTCTGATTTTCACCTCAAGTTCGTTAAGTGCCTGAACTAGGCCTAGTATAAAATTGTTATTTTAATATCTATAAGCCTTGCAATTGGGCTCATTTAATCGGAAATCGTACGTAGATATTAAAAATGGTCTCAATCTTGAAAATCCGATTACAAACAAAATTGTGCAAAAGGAGATTTTTACCAAATTTACTCACTCTAGTTGGAAACTTTAGGAGCCTAAAAATTGGCATTTTGAGATCAACAGGCCTAAAATTGGGCTCATTGAATTGAAATTTGTGCGTAGATTTTAAAAATGGTCTCAATCTTGAAAATCCGATTTCAAACGAGTCTGCAGACTAGCCAAAACGATTGACAACCCTACTTCTATGAACGTTAACGACCAATTTTATTTAAATTTTACATACTAAATCATTATACTGTTCTTGCGATTGATTTTCTTTACTTTAGAATATAATTTAAAATCCGATTTTCCGACATAAACCAAGAAATATATAAATTAGAGATAATTAAGAATTTATTTTTATGTTTAATCCAACAAAAATTGTACAATGTAAAATTATCATAAAAAATTTATGTTATTCACAAAAAAATTAACTAATTTGTGCAATATAATAAACGAGGGAGAGAAGGCAAGCAACAACATTTCTTCTTCAAAGCCAAGTTTCTAACTTACACCACCATACGTAATTTTTGTCCAAATTTTAGAACCAAGAAATCAATATTTCAGAAGAAGAATATTAGGATAAAAACTCGAAGTTGGCTCTGATCGGAGGAAAATTAGAATGACGTGGCTCGGAAGAAAAATTGTCGTGGCTGGTGTTCCAACCCTCAATAAACCTTGGATAAGCATGTCGAGCAAAACCGTTCACATTCCCTTTTCCAGACATCTGAACAAAAAAATGTTAAATGTTAAAAATAATTCTCGAGAGTTATTTAATCAGAATCAAATCTTGATCATTTATAGTGAAAAAAATAGAAGTTGTCTCAAACTCTTACTTCTTATCATTATCACGCGACCTCATTTTTTAAAAACTACGACAGCAAGTTGCAAAGATATAAGGATTAGAAAATTGAAACAAATTTTTATTTTCTCTGTTTTGCAATAAAATAAACAACGTATAATGTAATTTATTACCGTCGTCGTCGTATATATCAATACAATGAAGACGACTTTCAATTTAAATGTTCTTCTAAGCTTTCAAACAGCATGGATACGCGTAAACATAGAAACAAAGCAAAGCTGCTAATTTACAGCTTCTCTTTGTTTACTTTTAAACTTATTATATGAAAAAAGTGTTTCATCCTTGTATTGATATATCCGCCGACCATGTATAGTATTATCCACATGTAAGAGTATCTATATATTTGACTGGTCTGTTTGTTAAAAATAACATCACAACAGCTGCACCGATCGGACCGATCATTTATTGCGGCAACTCAATTATCCCAGTGAAGGATTATGAACGGTAAAATAAAAAAAAAAATGGAAAACAAGGTCGACATTAATTATTTTTGAAAATGCAAAAATTTAAACAGAAAAATTCATAAATATTTTTGTTTCTTGCAGAGTATCGGTTAAAAGCTGATTTCTGAAAAAAGGCAAAAAAGTCTTTATAAATTTAGGCATTGATTTTATTTTTATCCAATTTTTTTCATACAATTTTTGCTTACTCTCGATTTGCTCCAATTTACGGCAAATGTTGTCTCCTAAGCATAGATAGATAAAATCACTGATTATAAAGGCGAGAGTGTCGTCATATGCGGATTCTATGAGATCCGTACATTGGAGCGCATGGTGAGTAAGCAACCTTATTATACAACCTTGAGTTTAATATGAGATGGTTCTAAATTAAATATCTATTATTACCTGAGCTTGAACTAGGGTTTGAAGATGTTTGCAGTACAGTTCTAGTTCGGCTAGATGTACTGCAACGAAGGAGATCTCGGTGATACGGGGAGCTAAATAATAAACTTGTTTTTGTGTACATTGTACAACACTGCATAAACTGCACAGAAATGGACTGGGTGTCCCAATAAACATGGGAATTAAGTGAAAACTCCAAAATCGACTTTTTAAGAATAAGTTTTGTAAATTGTAATAAATAATAGAACAAACAAAGGGTATTTTAAGGTTAAGCTTCAATCTTTTACCTGTGAGCCCCGTGGTTTCACAGTCGAAAAACACATAAGACTTGATAGGCACATGTTCTGGCATTGTGAGCAATCCCTTTATTCACTTCGAAACACCGCGATCTGTCCCTTTAATCCACTTTCCAGATTCTGAACTAACCCTTTAATTCACTAGAGGTTCAGTCTGAAAAAATATAAATTATTTTTTTTTCTTTAATTCTTTTTTTTAAATCAACGTCTTATTCTATTGTAAATTTTTCCTTATTACAATTGTATGTTTAATTGTATGCAAAATTAAGTAAACTCTATAGGTATGTAGGTATATAGGTATGTACTGCAGATTGTACAGCTCTAGGATATATACTGCAGTACATCAAGTTCTGCCAACTGTTTCAGAGCTATGTCATTCCATCCTATAAAAAGGTAGAATTAGAAAATAGAAGTATTTATTGATTTTTTTAATTTCAAAGGTTAGTCGAGCCAAGGTTATAATGCAAGGAAAGTTAATTTCAGATGCGTATACTCTGCGTACATATTGAAACCAGTTCTCTCCGGGCGAAATTTGTAAACAAGAACAGATGCATCAGTGTTCGTTTAGTATCCGAGGAGGATAAAAGCATTTAAAAATTTTGATACTTCACATAATAGTTTCCTATGACCAGAATATTTCATTGATTTTTATGTGAAAGATGGATCCGTCTTGTGTTTACATTACCGCCCAGAGACAGTACACTGCAGTACAAAAGATGCGTACACCTCTGAAATAACTTTTCTTGCATTATAACCTAGGCCGACGCAATTTCAAGGGACCCTTCTTTTACTAGGTACATGCATGATTCACAAAGGTATCTATAAACATTTAAGTGAGCAACAATGGAGAAGATATCGTCGTTTTTCTATCTTAAAAAGGTTAAGAATGAATACTGGATTTTATGGTGAATTTGAACAGAGCTGTGGATGGAATGAATAAATTGCAAAGCATAAAAGTAAATTATGTCAAAAACCAATGTTTACCAGTGTTCATGCCTTTGTCAAAGTGCCATAACACGCATATCCCAATTGCCTACTGCCTAGCAAAATAGCATATGGTTTCAAAATCTAAGTATTATAGGTTTTAATCACTGCATGCCTTCAAAAGCAGATATATTTAGCAACATATTTATGTTTTATTTAATTGTAAACAAATTCTAATTTTATTCGTTTTTAATGTTTTACCTTTATTTGCTAGAGGATTTATTGGACTTGGATGCATTAAAAATCCGACTCTAAAATCAAATCTATTTAGAATTATGTTAAAAAAGACAATATATACATTATGACTACTACTGTCAGTATATACAGTGAGACCCATGAAACTCTGGAATAGAAAGACGACTATTAGACTCAAGCTATGATTTGCATAGTAAAATAACTTGAAACACAGCCGTTTTGCACTGTACAATTGTGCACTGTACAATTGTGCACTGTACTATTGTGCACTGTACTATTGTGCACTGCACTATTGTGCACTGCACTATTGTGCACTGTACTATTGATCACTGTACTATTGTGCCCTGTACTATTGTGCACTGTACTATTGTGCACTGTACTATTGTGCACTGTACTATTGTGCACTGTACTATTGTGCACTGTACTATTGTGATGCAATATTGTGCACTGCACTATTGTGCACTGTACTATTGTGCACTGTACTATTGTGCACTGTACTATTGTGCACTGTACTATTGTGCACTGTACAATTGTGCACTGTACTATTGTCGTCTTCCTATTCATCAGTTTTAAGGGTCTTACTGTATCACTAATTTTGTGTGAAATTACATCTTTATCAATTTAAAGATAACATTAAATAAATTTTTAAAAAATGATAGACGTCATGCTCCATTTCTAATGCATGTTAAGGAGTTACTGAATATTCACGTATGTGTTATCTGTATTGCCGCATCTACATATTTTAATCGCGGATTTGCAGTTTTGAGAGAAATTTATCACCTATATATCGCATGTAAACATTTTCAGGTAAATAACTTTTTAAACATCTTTTTTTCTTTCTTTTTAATAATATAAAAAGCTTCAAAATAGTATTTTTTGTTTATCAAAAATGATCTAAATTGATTTCCTAGTTTTAAGTTTATTTTCTTTAACAATCTTTTTCCCGCGGTTCTCGGCAAATTTTCCAATTCCAATTATAAGATCAGTTTTCAACAGGACTAAAAATTCCAATTATAAGATCAGTTTCCAACAGGTCTAAAAATTCCAATTATAAGATCAGTTTTCAACAGGTCTAAAAATTCCAATTATAAGATCAGTTTTCAACAGGACTAAAAAATCCAATTTTAAGATCAGTTTTCAACAGGACTAAAAATTACAATTATATAAGATCAGTTTTCAACAGGATTAAAAATTGACAAATTATATAAGATAAGTTTTCAACAGGACTAAAAATTCCTATTATAAGATCAGTTTTCAACAGGTCTAAAAATTCCAATTATATAAGATCAGTTTTCAACAGGACTAAAGATTCCAATTATAAGATCAGTTTTCAACAGGACTAAAAATTCCAATTATATAAGATCAGTTTCCAACAGGACTAAAAATTCCAATTATATAAGATCAGTTTTCCACAGGACTAAAAATTCCAATTATATAAGATCAGTTTTCAACAGGACTAAAAATTCCAATTATATAAGATCAGTTTTCAACAGGTCTAAAAATTCCAATTATAAGATCAGTTTTCAACAGGTCTAAAAATTGACAAATTGACTATATAAATATATAGCTATTTCAAAATAACTTCCCCAGAACAAACATTGGTGAATGATAATTATGATGTCCACCACTAGTTCAGTTTCCGAGGTTGTGGTATTTTTGCGTTGAACAGGATTAACAATAAACACGATTATTCTTAAATTCCCATACATATTATCAAGTAAAAGAGATATTATAAGATTAGTTCTCAACAGGCCTATCAATAGACAAATTCCAATTTTAAGTCGAAAATTGTGCCAAAAATAATTAATGAGCAGTGTTTAACAGAACTTATAATTAATAACATGACTTTCAAACCATAAAATGGTATCAGTGATCAACTGGACTAATAAATGAATAAAAATATTCCTCTATCAGGGATCAACTGGACTAAAATTAATAAAAAATACTCCACAGGACTAATTATAGTCGCTAGAATATGCATAAGAATTGTGTTCGACAAATAGAAAATAGTCAAAAATTATTCCAAATATCAGCCAGAAAAATTTCTGTCATTAAAAAAAATAAAATTAATAAAAATAATATTCAGTTAAATTTTGCCTAATATTTCAAGAAGAGATGAATCACAAGCAGTCATTATCTTTTCTCTTAATTCTTTTGGCATTTCAGGAGGCGTCACATTCTTCCCTGACTCCTGGAAAACAGTGATAACCAGGAAACTGTAGATTAGGAAGACGACATTAACGCATAAATTAATTGTATTTGATTTGGTTAGAAATCAAATAGTTTTACCGCAGTAACTTATTAAATCACTTATTAAATGAATTGGGCCTTTCTACACGGCAAAATTGTAATGTATTATGCACATTGCATTATTTAAAGTCATAAATTGAATCTAAAACTCGTCTTCTTATTCCATAGTTTTATGGTTTTCACTGTATATATATATATACACATTTTCTAAAAAAAATTACAGGGTTCGTGTTTAAAAAAGAAATATTAGAATGATCTGAAAGAGATCCCTACATGAAACCCCCATGAATTTGCACTCTTACAGAACAATTATACACTTTAAAAAACGTCTCATAGATATCAAATGAATCCTGAAAAATTTTCTACAAAACTGCACTGTCAGCTCAACTACCATGTCTAGCCAGTCGCTCCCTTTGAATGTTAGGGGGGTTATGTTAGGGGGGTTATATTTACAGAAATATGTCAAGGGGAATATGTTCCTATTAATCTTCTAAAATATATTTACAGGAATATGTCAGGGGGAATATGTTCCTATTAATCTTCTAAAAAAATATTTACAGGAATATGTCAGGGGGAATATGTTCCTATTAATCTTCTAAAACATATTTACAGGAATATGTCAGGGGGAATATGTTCCTATTAATCTTCTAAAATATATTTACAGGAATATGTCAGGGGGAATATGTTCCTATTAATCTTCTAAAATATATTTACAGGAATATGTCAGGGGGAATATGTTCCTAATAATCTTCTAAAATGTCAGAGGAGTTAAGTTCTCTATAGAGTCACCTTCATAAAAGCCAGAGGACAATGATTGGCCAGAAAGCTATGCTTGAAGAATGTGTCCGGAGTTCTGGAAACTTCTATACAAGGATTGTAGACATAATTTAAAACCATAATTTATAGAGCGATATATGACATGTCTGATTCTAAACGGTACACTTAAAAGCATGAGATATTTCAAGAAGAGAGTTTGTTTTTAATCTTTGTGAAGAAACAATCTCAAGAACTGACGAGGGTCAACCCAGACCGAAATATATTTTCAATAAATGTGGAACTAACATCTACTTTTTTACTCTACAGAGGTTTGGTCCATCACCATGAGCGNTTTGGTCCATCACCATCACCGAATTTGAAATCATGAGATATCCATCATCGTCTCTGTTTGAAAATTGTTTATTTTCGTGTGTAGGTTTTCCAACTTGCGCAAATTCTACTTCAAAAGCAATGGAGGAAATTATTAAAATAGAACACTTTTCACGCTAGAAAACCGGCGATATCTTTCACATTATTAATCAGGAAACGTTTTTAATGGTACCGTTGTGAATCGAGTAAAGCACCCTTTAAATGAAAGGTCACTTTAAATTACGTCTACAGTCCCTTTAATCAAACTCCAGAATCTTTGACCGCTCACCTCCTTTCTCTTGCAATCAAATCCTAACAATAACATCTTGTTAATACCCTTTAAAGAGAGCATGTTTCCAGCGAGCGGGGGAATGCGCACCACACAAATTTATCTTCCGGACCAAAAAAGACCTCTCAATTTCACGGATTGGCGCTAACTCATTTCAATTCCGCCTTAAACTAATTCAAAAAGTTGATTTTTTATGATTTGTGGTTCGGAAGAGATATTTATGTGTTCGCTAGCTCTTCTCTTTCCAACAGCAACATTTTAGAACTAACTTCTCAAGAGCAAATACTACAATTTCACACCAAACATTTCTTCAGACCAAACTATTCAATTATTTTTAGACATATTTTCCACTATTACAATAATGAATAAAATCCCTAAAGCAATTTTTCTTACCTTCTATAGGTCTTCTAGGATGAAAAGTCTTGGGAGTTTTAACAGGAGCTGAGATACCAAGAAACCCCTTGCAAGCTTCAATCTCACCGAAAGGAATTCCTAAACAAAAAGGTTGGAATATCAAAACGAAACAGCGATAGTTAGCCAGAAGCCAAAACTAAAGGACGAAAAGTTAAATGTTAAATGTTAAGTTTCAGCTTAAATGCTGGCAGCACCATTTTTGACTTAATTTAACTTGTAACTTCAAGCTTTAACTTAATTATATTTGACTCGTCGATTTTGGCAAGGTGAATAACCCATAATTTATTTTTAATCTTCCATTATACAATTCCTAAGTGATATACGTAAATAAAATAGAACCGATCAACTACTAACTAATAAAAAGATGTTAATTTTTAACAAACTAGTATTATTTCCGGAGGGAATTTTTCTCCCCAATTATCATCTCCCATTGGGAATTTTCCCAATTGTCAATTTACAAATATACGAATAAGGAAAATATTTTTACATTTTTTCTGTGATAAGTGTTAAGTGGGAGGGGGAGGAGAGGCCGGGGGAAGGGAAACAGTGTTGCGACTAGGAATTCCACCAACAATCTATATTTATACTTTTTGTTTGTATCCAATAAACGTCAAAACGACTAAACCGATCAGGTCCAAAGTTTGTGTGACAACTCATAAGACCCCAAGGAAGTTTGAGAGATGATAAAAATAAAAAGTGCACGGAAAAAATGTCGAAATTTATTAAATTTAAAAAATGCACTTGAAAGCCTAGAATCATATAAAATTCATGAACTCTCTCTTAAAATCTAACCTGTTTGGCACATGCCCCACGGTCCAGGGTTCATACCCAGAAAAATAATTTTCTTCTCTCCATCTAAATTTTTTACATATTCTAATTTGGCACTTTTTGCATAATTTACGGGTTTGATAAAAAAGGTAAAAAAAAATTTTCTCAGAAAAAAAATCTTAAGAGCTTTGAATATTTTGTTTTAACTCACATTATTATTAATTAAAGAAATTATAAAATTATGAATAAGTAATAAAATTTTTTTCTAATTTTTTCAATATCATTTTTATCTTTAAACCATCAGTTTTTTCGAATAATTTTTTTCATGGTATATTGATCATTTAATTACTTTATATAAATTATAAATCTTTTAAGCTGACTATGATCAAAATTTATAAATCAAAAAAGTTTAGCCCTAGGTATTTCTGAAGAAATATTCTATGAGGTAACTCCGCATGATCTGATAATTAAAATATTTCATGACAATTTAAAGGAAGAGGTTGCAATTTTCTCAAGCAATAAAAATACATGTCTTCAATATATTTTATCTACAATATGCTTATGACAAATCTTCAAAAGAGCTGCGTAGCCTGAACAATCTATCGGGCCAATATCATATCTAACTTGTATTAGAAAACTGGACAAATTTAAAATCAGAGAAAAATAATAATCCCGTGGAAGACGATACCTAGCCGCCTAAAACTACTTCCACAAGAATGAGATAGAACGGATACGGGGCATTGTACTTTTGAATCTACACGTGTGATCTTGATATTGACTCATGTTCTGAACCCTCTAGTAATGAGTTATAAGAAATATATATACTGGAAGTTACTTTATGCGTTTCATTAGAGTTTGACCTCAAGTCCTCTATAATCCCTTATTTAAAACCTTCCTTTAAACCTTAAAGAGTAAAAGAAGACTGTGTTTCTAAACATTTAATATCTTTAATATTAAAAATTGAGCAAGATTGGAATTAAAAAATTGATTTTTATCATATTTTATTAGTTACCCATTATCCTTTTTATACTTGTTTATCAACAGAAAAACAAAAAAATACAATTTTTATTATTAAATAATGTTGAGAAAATTAAGACAAACAAGGCATGAATTATTTTGTTTAATTGCCTAGAGGATTAGATAGATATTTTACTGGTGACCTGGTGTAATCTGTAGCAAAAAAAAACATGTTTTTCAGAAAATCAGTTCTATTGTTCAACTTGGACAAAAAAACTTAACATGTAAAAATTTGAAAAAAGTTTTTTCATATTTCTCGATTTTCCGCAATTTTCCTGAGTTTTAATTTTTACAGGGTGGATAAGAAAAATGTAATTTTTATTTTAATTCATGTTTTTACCTAATGTCATTAAATACTCAGCTAGTTTCACCTCTATTTTTAGCACTTTGTCCCTGATAATAAAGAAATTATTATTAATGCACTAAAAATAAACCTGATTGTCTCAGTGAAGAATGGTCGGAAAAGAACCGATGGAAGGTCAGCAATTTGTCCCTCGAGGTCAACTTCTTCTTCCCAGAGGTCAACATTTTGTCCATGGAGGTCAAAATTTTGTTTATGGAGGTCAATATTTTCCTGTCCCTGGAGGTTAAAAGCTACAGTCTGGAGGTCTGTTTGACTTTGAAAATTGTTTGAATGTGCCTCCAGGTCAAGGAGGTCATCAGCATACGGCTGTAGGTCAGCATGATGAGAATACCGGTCATCAGTGACATCACGAAGGTCTGACATATTCGTAAGAGCCACAAAATTATCTTTCACTCTTTTTCATCAAATATATTCTATCAAAGGTTCATTTGCATATTTTAAATGTCTAACAGTAAGTGAACCTAGAATAGCAACTCTTGTTTAGAAATAACCCATTTCATCATTAAAATCTCAACTACTCACTTCAGTTTTTTTTCTTGTTCGAGAATTCACCACATCTGTTTTCTGTACTGTCCGGATTTTAATGTTATTTGTCTATTTCTCTAGAACTTAAAAAAAGTTAACGCCACTTTTTATTTGATTCTTTATACTTACAAGTACGCTTCTATTTTACTTATTTTATTAAGGTTCGCTCACTTCCACTTATTGCTAATTTGTCCACTTCCACTTTGAAAAGTTAAGTCCTAGAAACCCCCACATGTAACTATTAAAATATACATAATTTATAGAAATAATCATGAAATTTTATAACTTTTAAAAAATTGTAATTTAAAATTTATTTTAAAGACATTGGATTTTAAAATAAATTCTCAACATTTTTTCTTTAAATGATGTATAAATTTTCCTAAATGGATGAACCCCATCTCCTCCATCTAGAGTTCTGTTCTCATTTGCCCACTTGAAGATAGAACCTTCTAGATTGTACACCTTGAACATGTACAGTGTACAGTGTACACTTGAAGATAAAACCTTCTAGATTGTACACCTGAACATGTACAGTGTACAGTGTTCACTTGAAGATAGAACCTTCTAGATTGTACACCTGAACATGTACAGTGTACAGTCTACACTTGAAGATAGAACCTTCTAGATTGTACACCTGAACATGTACACTGTACAGTGTACACTTGAAGATAGAACCTTCTAGATTGTACACCTAAACATGTACACTGTACAGTGTACACTTGAAGATAGAACCTTCTAGATAGTACACCTAAACATGTACAGTGTACAGTTTACCTTGAAGATAGAACCTTCTAGATTGTACACCTAAACATGTACAGTGTACAGTGTACACTTGAAGATAGAATCTTCTAGATTGTACACCTGAACATGTACAGTGTACAGTGTACACTTAAAGATAGAATTTTCAAGATTGTACACCTTAACATGTACAGTGTACCGCGCCGTTTTGTACAGTAGACTAAGTTTGAGATTAAAATGTACACCTAAACATGTACAGTGTACACTGTACACTTGAAGATAGAACCTTCTAGATTGTACACCTCAACATGTACAGTGTACAGTTTACACTTGTAGATAGAACCTTCTAGATTGTACACCTAAACATGTACAGTGTAGTACACTTGAAGATAGAACCTTCTAGATTGTAAACTAAACAAGTACAGTGTACACTTGAAGATAAAACCTTCTAGATTGTACACCTAAACATGTACAGTGTAGTACACTTGAAGATAAAACCTTCTAGATTGTACAACTAAACATGTACAATGTAGTAAACTTGAAGATAGATACTTCTAGATTGTACAACTAAACATGTACAGTTTACAGTGTACACTTGAAGATAGAACCTTCTGGTTGTACACCTAAACATGTACAGTGTACAGTGTAAACTTAAAGATAGAATTTTCTGGATTGTACACCTAAACATGTACAGTGTACCGCGCCGTTTTGTACAGTAGACTAAGTTTGAGATTAAACATAGATTGTACAACTGTTGCACTTTACAAAGAATGAAGAGAACTTGACAGTTCAGTTTAGGATAAAACCTTTTATTAATATTATCATTATTATTCTAAACTACCCAGGTTCATATTATCATTCACAGTCATAGGTAATCCCACCGTTTACCCGCGCTTGGCATTAAATTTTTATAATTATGACGCGGCAAAATATCGAATTTTTTAGCCATGGGTTCCCACAAAAAAGTTTAGCCAAATCAATATAGTCATTTGGCCAGCTATAGCGAATATATATATATTTGCGAAAAGCTTTTTGACATGAATTACAATCATAGAGAATAGAATATATATTAGAGGGGAATTTAAAGAATCTCTCGGTATGAATTNCAACACAGAGGATCTTAAACATTAAAATATACAAATCAAAACTAAAATTTGAAAGACACATGACACAACTTCAGATCAAATTAAATGAAAAATCAGTCAAGTTGAGAGTGAGAATCAATTCTGCAGGATGATGGATAGCATTTATTCTACATACTTCATAAAAATATTCTGGTTCGTGTTTGTAGTCTTTAAGTTAACCATATATATGGATGACTAACCCCATCTTTCTTCTTAGTTCACTTACAGGACAAATGAGTCCCTTCGGTATCGGAACTTTGTAGAATCTAGGAGCTCGACTCACCTGAGCTGGGAACTTTTGAATGGGATCCCATTAATCCCGACTGCTTAATCCGAATATTCAATGTGGACACTTTTGATTTCTTGCTTAATCCAATCTTTTTTGGATATACTACAGATAAATAAAAAACCGGTTTTTAAAATCAAGAGTTTCTGTTTATTAATCTTAAATGGCGCGCAAAATTTCAAATTTACCGCCTTCTGATACGCGATTCTAATTGGTTGAATTTTATACACTTTTCAGGATACAAGTACAAAATTTAGTTAGTCTCGAGATTAAGAAAAAGAGAGGATTAAGCATTAATCCCGATATCCACCATTCAAAAGTTCCCAGCTCTGAGCGTATATGATATGCAAAATTTTATCTTTTGTATTTCATAATTAAATATATTCAGTATTTTTTATTTCTAAGGTATTGTATTTTTCAGTGTATAAATAACAGAAGAATAAAGACTAGAAACTCTTTAACCATTGGTACCAGCGCATCTGTGAGATAAGTAAAATAAATCAAAATCAAAATCATCCACATCCCATCACATAGACCCAAAAATAAGAAAGCAAAATAAATTTTCTAATATTTTTCAATTTTCAAGTTTTTATTATTGTTGTTAACGTTTCTATACCTGTATCCTAAGGAACAATAACAAATCAACAAAGTTTCTGAGTTGTCTGCCTTGTTTTTCACATGATCTTAACAAACAAGAAACTTTTAAACTCCGCTAACCTTATATAAATCTGCTAACCTTGTAAAAATCTGCTAACCTTGCATGAAACAGCAAATCTGTTCTAACCTTGTGTAAATCTGCTAATATGTTCTGTATCTGATAACCTTCTACAAATCTGCTACTCTGTTCTGTATCTTCTAACCTTCAAAAAATCTGCTAATCTGTTCTGTATCTGCTAACCTTCTATAAATTTGTTAATCTGTTCTGAATCTGCTAACTTCTACAAATCTGTTAATCTGTTCTGTATCTGCTAACCTTCTATAAATCTGCTAATCTGATCTGTATCTGCTAACCAGTAAAACTGCTATTCTGATCTGTATCTGCTAACCTTCTATAACTCTGCTAATCTGTTCTGAATCTGCTAACTTCTACAAATCTGTGAATCTGTTCTGTATCTGCTAACCTTCTATAAATCTGCTAATCTGATCTGTATCTGCTAACCAGTAAAACTGCTATTCTGATCTGTATCTGCTAACCTTCTATAAATCTGCTAATCTGTTCTGAATCTGCTAACTTCTACAAATCTGTGAATCTGTTCTGTATCTGCAAACCTTCTATGAATCTGCTAATCTGTTCTGTATCTGCTAACCTTCTATAAATCTGCTAATCTGTTCTGTATTTGCTAACCTTCTATAAATCTACTAATCTGTTCTGTATCTGCTAACCTTCTATAAATCTGCTAATCTGTCCTGTATCTGCTAACCTTCTATAAATCTACTAATCTGATCTGTATCTGCTAAACTTTTATAAAACTGATAAACTGATCTTTATCTGCTGACCTTCTATAAATCTGCTAATCTGATCTGTATCTGCTAACCTGTAAAACTGCTATTCTGATCTGTATCTGCTAACCTTCCAGAAAACTGATAAACTGATCTGAATCCGCTAACCTTCTATAAATCTACTAATCTGATCAGTATCTGCTAATCTTCTATAAATCTGCTAATCTGTTCCGTATCTGCTAACGTTCTACAAATCTGCTAATCTATTCTGTATCTGCAAACCTTCTACAAATCTGATAATCTGTTCTGTTTCTACTAACCTTGTATAAATCTGCTTATCTGATCTGTATCTGTTAACCTTCTATAAATCTGCTTATCTGCTCTGTATCTGCTAATCTGATCTGTATCTGCTAACCTTGTATAAATTTGCTAATCTGCTCTGTATCTGCTTGAAAATGAAGATGCCTGGCACCAGGAAGTCTGCTCACACTATATTCTTCCTGAAATTTATCATTCAAATTTCAATCAATCAATCCATCAACCAATCAACCAACCAATAAATCAATCAATAATTCAATCAAGTAATCAATTAATCAACCAATCAAGTAATCAAACAATCAATTAATCATTAAATGATATTAATCAACAACGCAATCAATCAATCAAAAGACAAAATCATTAATAAGCAAGCCATCAATGATTTTACATTGCACAGTTTACACTATACAATGAATACTTTGCACTTTAGGAAGGTAGTGAGGGGGTCAGGGGGAAATTAGATACAAAATACGAAAATATAACTTTTCCATCAACCTCTGTTTTGACCCCGAAAAAGGCTTCCCCGCGCAACTAATATTTGTACGATGCCAACTAATTAAATGTTTAGTCCGTTCAGTCAGGACTGCGGCGTCGGTGATTTCTTTGAAAAAAAAATCCCACCTCGTTTCTTGTATCTATAATAAGAATGTTGTTGCTGTTGTTTATGTTGTTGTGAAGCTCGGCTGTTGTTATGTTTTCAACATTCTCGAACCTTCTTTTCAAACTCGTGGTGATTAATTTCAACATCTGAAATTCGGGAAACCATTTTGATTTTCAATGAAAATATACAGGTACCCAAAAAGAATAAGACCTTATGTTTTATGAATTTGACTATTTGAAGTTTAATTAAGTTTTTCCCTTGCAGTTGAATATTAGTATTGTTAAAAGAAAAAAAATGTTACTCGGTATTTTTTTTCCAATCCAAGTCTCTGTATATAGGCAACAATTTCAGTTGCCTGCATGCTTTAAAGCAGAGTGGACTCAGTGGACCTATCCTATGTGGTGCCAGGGTCATGTTACATCGTCTATGCGCAACATCCCCCCAACTGAACTTNCTACGCCAGCTGTTTATTTTAGTATTATTTGAGGGTTAGGTTAGGTTAAGACAATTTCTAAGCCGGACAGGCTTAGGGGCCGAGCGCCGCGGCTAGGACAGACTAGGGGGCCGGGCGCAGCGGCCACAATATAGCAGCTGTAAAACCACGTGCCAGTAGGTCGGATGTATAGTATAGTGGATTTGGCGTAGGTCAGAAGTGGAGTATAGCGAATTTGCGTAGGTCGAAAGATACACGATCGGTACGAGAATTACAGCTAGAGAAGCGCTGAGTTTAGTTACGCATCTTGTATCCTAAAGGGGAAGCAAGAATTGTACATAGATTAAAACAAAACTTCATTCTCAGCTTGGTGCTGTGCACTTTGGACAAGGAATGGACGATCAAGAAGAACGAATGAAAAACAGGAAATAGAAGTCTCAGAATGTTTCCATCTCATATCGTATAGAAATTTAAAAATATTGTAAAATTTAATTAAAATAAAAAAATTATTAAAGTTAAAATAGGCAACAATTTCAGATGTATAATGTATATATTAGCTTTATGCAAAAGTTGAAAAATCTAAAAAGCCATAGTATGATAAAATAATTTTTGTTTGTTAATTTATTTATTGAACGATTTTGATTGAACCACGAGAATGTTTTTAGTTTGGTTTACAAATCTTCAGTGTGAAATACTTTATTATGTTCTTCTGAAACAAAAATGGCCGACTTTTTGTGAATAGATTTTTCTAAAACACTTGTTTTTTTAAAAGTATTTTTCCAGAGTTACTAAAATCCTAAACTCCTCTCACATTTTTATCTGAAAATGTAATTTTTGATAAATTAATTACGACATGATAACATAAAAGTATTAATAAATTTTTATTAAATAAAATATTTTGACAATTGTACAATAATAGGCGAAGTATGACTCGTATTTATGAAAATGCACGTTGGGGATAATATTGGGTTGGATATTGAAGGTAACTTTAATGCTAAAGTTTTAAAAAGAAAAAAAAATTACATCCCCCCCTCTCTAAATGTAAACGTAATTTCAAGGGACCCTCCATGCAAAGATGTTGAATGACAATGCCTGATTCTTAACGGTACCCTTGAAACCTTTGTCTGAAGTATCAATTAGATGGAAATGCTTATAATTTTGAAAACTTTTTGTTTTCAAACGTGGTTTCTCAAAAAAAACTGATTTGCGCATTTCTACTTCATGAAAACAAATATGAATCATCAGAATTAACACTTTTACACTTATAGATTAACATATCTTCCACATTATTGATCAGATAAAAATTTCAATGGTACCGTTGTGAATCGGGCATTGCAATTTTTGAAGGATCACATAAAATTACGCTTACAGTCCCTTTAAGTTAAAGGAAAAAATTAATTATGCTTTATAAAAAAATTACCATTAAAAAACTTCTTTCGCGTAAAGTTACCTAAAAACACCCAACTGACTAGATATTAAGAAACAATGAGTATTGTTGTTTATTATTAATGTTCAATTATTGAATCGATCGCCAATAATCAAAATATAGCGGGGTTGTTAAATAAATAATTATGTAGATCGGCGGTAAATTGAATCGATCGGCGGCGATTATTGACTTTACCAGCCATTATGGAATCGACGGGGATAAAAAATATTACGAGTAATTTATGGAAAATTTGTAGGCTCAAATTTAAAAACTCTATCCGTTTTGATTCCCCAATCAATCGAGCAATTCAATCATTTTCTTAATATAACTATTGGACATCAAATGATCGTTAACATTGAACATAAAAACAACATCAATGTGAGTTTCATCATTAATTATAATCTTCAAGCGAATTATTTTTTGGCAGATTTTTGGAAGCTTTACAAATTTTGAATTTCATCTATAAAGTATGGCAATTAAGAATGTGTTATTATTAAATTGTTTTGACTAAAATCATAATTATTACTTGACAAATACAAAGAACAGTAAACACTACAAATATTATAAATAATTATTTAAGGAACTAGTATGTCTGATTCACAATGATACTCTTATGAAAAACCAATGTCTGATCATGGACAACTGAAATATCCTTAATTGTTCAGCTAAAAATGTAGTGTAAACTAGAGGAATCTATGTAAGAAAGTCACCAGAAAAAAGTTTCTGGAAATAAACACTTTGGCAAAAAAAGTCCCAATTTTTTTAAGTCTTAGGACAAAATATCACTGAGTTTTAGATTCCTGGGACTTGTGAAGATGAGGTCAAGTCAAAGACGTTTTTTAATAAAGAATTTTTTTCTAATCATCTGCATATTGAATATATCCAGGGGTGTGTTATATCAACTGCCCCTTTTTGCATGGTTGTAAACATCCTTTTCTACTAAAATAGGACTTTTTTCCTTCAACATTTTTGTATAAAATCATTCTGAGCTGGGAACTTTTGAATGGTGGATATCGGGATTAATGCTTAATCCATTCTTTTTCTTAATCTCCAGATTAAATAATGCTTGTTCTCCTCTTTTATTTAATCTCCAGATTAATTTACTGATCAGGATTAAGGATATTCCATTCTAAAGTTTCCAGCTCTGGAAACAGAAAAGAATTCCTAAATAAAGTCTCAAAGTGGTAGGACTTTATTTCCAAAGACTTTTTATTTCAAGGACTTTTTCCACGGGACTATTTTAGTGCAAAACTTTAGGACTTGTTTTCCGAAAAAAATTTTCATAGAATTTTTTGGCAGTTACCAAGCTAAAATAAACACGCTGTACACTTACGTTTTCTGGCACTCAATTTTTTGCTAGAAAAATAAATATATCTCTGTCATCTTAGATCAGAATAAGGTTTAAAGGGTAACATTGTCAATCGGAAATACCACTCTAGAACTTGAAGTTGATTTGAAATTACGTGAACAGTCCCTTTAAACATAAGATTAGATTGGATGAACTAGTGGTGGTTGTTCCAAGTGTATACCTCAGTTTACATTAATATATGCACTACAACTTGTTTACATTAATATATGCAGTACAACTTGCTTTTATTAATTGCTAGAGGAAATCAAGGATTGAGCTTGGAGAGTGTAGGAAAATGGAGGAAAGGAAGGAGGGTTTATAAATTATAATGGAGGATGGAGCATGGGCGTTAAATGTTAAAGGACCGGAGAATGGAAGAAAAGTGTTAAGCGATGGATGGAGGTTAACAAATTAATGAAGGATGGAGGCTAAAAAATGAAAGTTGGAGGTAGCAAATTGGAGGATGGAGGTAAAAAAAACAGTCAAGGTTACAAACTGGAGGATCGGGGTAAAAAAATAAAGTATCAAGAATGGATAATGTAAAGAAAATAAAGGATGAGATTGGAGAATGGAAATTGAATATCAAGGAATAGAATGGAGTATGGAAGAAAAATGGAAGATAAAAAAGTATAAATAAATGAATAAAGAATTAAACACAAGGAAACATTTCTAGTACGATGATGGGGGGGGGGAAATGACAGGAAAAATAAAGGAAAAGAATTAAAAAACAAAATTAAGAAAAGGAGGCATCAGCGGAAGAAATGAATCTAGAACTGGAAGAACTCTAGAGCACGAAGAGAAGAAGAAGAACAAGAATAATTGCGCTTGAAATTGTTCCAATTGCCATCCATTGTCGCCGATCTAAACATAAATTTGAAAACATCTCATTTCAACAAAAAGTTAATTATTTAATTGAAGAATAAAAAAATATCCATTTTTTTAATTTTCCCAATTTAATCATCTTTTGAGATGGAAATCCGAGAATTTTTTTACAGAAACATCGCAGTCAAACTACGTTCTAGATATGTTCTAGATGTTTACAGATAATAATGGTCCTGTTTAAGTTGCAAAATATTTAAGATCAGGCCATCATAATTAATTTAGAACAATAGAATATTTATAAAAAGTTACATTACAAGAAATCCGATTTATCTGGGAAAGCAATATGGTTATTTTTTTTACCGAAAGTATTTTTTCTGGTCAAAGGGACATCTTTAAAGGACAATAAAAGGGTTTTCACGTTCAAATGTGTAAACAATCCGTTTTTATAGTTAATTAGCACGTTACCGTTTGATAGATGAAGAACTTTTGACATTTTCTTCATTGTAGCATCAAGCCTACTGTCAGCATGCTCTATCTCAGCACCAAACTCATCCAGCATCCTACAAGGAATCATAAGGAAATGAAATCCTACACTCACCAAGTTCAGAAATAAAGCAGTTCAATTTTTCACCGCTAGAGGTCTCGATACAATAAAATAGAATTTAGTTCAGTATTAGACCACTGGATTATAGATGTCATTAAAGCTAAGGATTGTAGAAGTAATTTCAAGTGATCCTTCATTTATTTTGGTAGGCTTCACAGCTTTGACCGAAATATTCTTATTTTTATTGCAAAAACGCATATTATTGTTCATAGTTAGCGAGACAATCATGGGTTTCTCCGTCGTCAAAGATCAGACAAATGTTTACAGGGTACCGTCGTGAACCGGACATGCCACTCTATAAATGGAGGGTCACTCTACATTTGCATTTAAACAATTTAATAATATATAGCATTCTTTATTTCCCAGTTTTCAATTATTACTTTAGATGAAAATTAAATTTACTTACACTGCTTGCTCGTCCAGTTCATTCGAAATATGATGCGACATTTCCCTACAATCAATCAATCATATAATATACATATATATCAATCAACCAATCAAATACCAAATGATTAATTTGCATAAAATCTATCAATCAATCAATCCGTTGCATACATTCAGAATTATCAATTTGTCCACAATCAATCTATCAATTAACCATTAAATCAATCAATCATTAAATCAATCATTCAATCAATCAATCAATCAATCAATCAACCAACCAACCTACCAACCAACAAACCAACCAACCAAATATTTAGACTGATTAATTTGCCTAAAATTACTTTATCAGTTGCATATTAAGAATGATTAATTTGCCAAAGTTAGTCAAATAAATTGTCAATTCCATCAATCAATCGAGCGATCAACTAATTATTAAAAATTATTCATTCCAATCAATCAACCAATCAAGCAATCAGGTAAATATCAAGAATGATTAATTTGCCTAATAGTGCCCATAGATCCACTCATCATATCTATTGTCTCTTCCTAAATATTTTAGATCTTTTACATAAATTATTAATTTTTATCATAATCCATTAATTTTTATCATAATTCATTAATTTTTATCATAATTCATTAATTTTTATAATAATTATTTTTTATCCTAAATTATGAATTTGTTGGCAATCAAACTCTTTTCTATATATTATTTCTAATGGGAAACGATAAAGTGTATCGTAATCTTAAAAGAGGAAAATTTGATATAATCTCAAATGGGAAAGAAAAATGTATAAAAATAAAAATTTGTATACAATTTTTTTTTAGAAAACCTTAATAGGAAACAGAAAAATATCTAAATATCATTTTTTTTATTTAGAATTAATGCGCAAAGAGCCCTGAAGGCCTTGTTTAAAGTGTTTTACCTGCCGTCTTATAGTGAGATTTTGCTGCTCCAACCCGACAATATATTCTCTAAATATAATAATATATACCCCCAACTGAACTTCTGACCNTTTAAGTACTAATATATGAGAGAATGTACATGAGAGCATGTTATTGTTATTGTTTTTGTTATATGAGATAATGTGCATACATGTACATAAGAATTAGTACCTGTACATGATTTTCTGGAGAATTTATTTGTTGTTTCATCTGTTTAACTTCTTCCTTCGTTGATTCAATAAATCCTAATCAAGGAGAAGAAAAATGAGAAAAAATAAATCTATTTTGTTGTTTCTCTCAAATGAATGGGATTTAGGCATAATTTCAAGTGAACTTTAATTCTACAAAGCGTCATGTCTTATTCACAATGGTAGTCCTTAAGAGTGGCATGTCTTATTCACAATGGTAGTCCTTAAGAGTGGCATGTCTTGTTCACAATGGTAGTCCTTAAGAGTGGCATGTCTTATTCACAATGGTAGTCCTAAAGAGTGACATGTCTTTTTCACAATGGTAGTCCTTAAGAGTGGCATGTCTTATTCACAATGGTAGTGTATAAGTCTTTAGCTGTGTAATAGTGGGAAGATATTGTGGTTTTCTCCGTAAGATATTTATACAATGTACAAAATCTCTACACAACAATTCAAGGAAATCGTAAGGGAATATTTAAAATGTTTTGAAAAATGTACTAGGAACTAAAGTTTATTATAATTTTTTTTTTACAGTGAAGTAAAGGGAATTTTACTGTACCAAGGGTTACCAAGACCAATACCATACGTCAACAGCGAAGCGAGGGATGTTTTGAAGGCAAAATTGGTCGAGAGAACCCTTAATTGTCCCAAGGGAAGTTAAGTAACTTAACGTCCCTATGTTGGGGGAATCGAAGGTTCCAGGTGGTACAATCATAAGGAATCATAAGGAAGTGAAATCTGCAAGAGACCCCATTACCATTACAATACCTTTCCTAACTGCCAACTCTCCGCTGTCAATCCGGAACTTGGTCGGATTCTTCTCTACAATCTAAACAAAATATCTTCTCTACAATCTAAACAAAATATCTTCTCTACAATCTAAACAAAATATTTTTTTTAATCTAAAAAAAAATAATCTCAATCTCATTTTAACAATGTTCCAAAATTCACAATAAAAATACATCAAGCAATAAAAATAAATCAAATATTTTTTTCAATTAAAAAAACAAAGATCTTAATCTCTTTTTATCAATCTTCAGGAATTCTAAGTAAAATAAAACTAGCAAAAAATAATTTGTCAATTGGTCAATTTCGGAAATCTATCAATCAAACATTTGATCAGGCTTTTAATTTTCATATATTTATTAGACAATCAATCAATCAAGCAAAAATATGAATCAATCAATCAATAAACTAATGAACCAATCAATGGACCCATCGATCAATCAATCAATCAATCATTCAATTTAATAATAAATCAACCAAATACTCAATCAATTAACCAAATAATCAATCCTTCAATTAATCAATCAATCAAACTATCAAGCTAACAAATTATTGAATGAACCAATAAACCAATGAACCATTCAATCGACTAATTAATCAATCAATCAATCAATCAATCAATCAATCAATCAAAAAATTAACACCCCACCTAACGAATGAGTCTAGATTCTGTACCTGAACCGTATCCTCCAGGTCCTCTAAATCCCATTCTATAGATCTCAAAGAGTTCTTTAGCTCTGTGATAGTCCACTCCTCTTCCTCATTAGATCTAGATAAATGTATGTAGATAGAGATAGATAAATATAGATAGATAGAGATAGATAAATATAGATAGATAGAGATAGATAAATATAGATAGATAGAGATAGATAAAGATATATAGAGATAGATAGAGATAGATAGAGATAGATAAAGATAGATAGAGATAGATAGAGATAGATGGAGATAGATAGAGATAGATAGAGATAGATAGAGATAGATAGAGATAGATAGAGATAGATAGAGATAGATAGAGATAGATAGAGATAGATAGAGATAAATCAAGATAGATTGAGATAGATATAGATAGACCTAAATAGAGATAGATCTAGATCGACCTAGATAGATCTAGATAGATCTGCTAACAGAAAACCCCCTCCCTCTTTCTCCCATCCCGTTACCCGTATCCGGTTCCATATTATCCTACATCCCTCTCCACCTGGAGAACAGATAACCTCCCCCCTCTCCCTTCCATCCCTATACATGTATTCTGTTCCACTCCCCCGTCCCCCATCCTGTCCACCTGGGGAACAGATATCCCTTCCCCTCTTCCTACCATCCCTATACCTTCATTCTGCTCCACCTCCCCGTACCCTCTCCACCTGTACTCTGCTTTTAGTTTCCGACTTTCACAGTGAACGGACGTCTCTGTCCAGTCCATACAGATATTCTAATCGGAAGCACATGCCTATGTTTCTCTAGTACGTGACAACAGTTACAGGGTGTCAATAAGTAGAAAAATGGCAAGCAACGGAAAGTCAAGAAAGTTTAAGAAAAAGAACAACATTCAACCAAACTCTGAAGCTCAAGTAAAAAATGAAGATATTAGTATTGATTTAATCCTGGAGAAACTCAAGGGTCTTGGGTTTGGGGAAAAGGCTGACAAGTCTCCAGATACATCTGATATTGGCATCGTTTTCAACGAACTCGTTAAAGCGGTGCACATCCTAAGACAAAAGTGGAAGATCTAGAGAGTAGAAGTGCCACAAGCGATGAGGGAATAAGGAACAGAGAAGCAAATGATGAGATTGATGAAATCAAGCAGCGTCAACTAAAGGGTTCCCTGCTCCTATCCTGTTTCAAGTAGTCCTTCACTCATCAAATCTGATGAAGAATTAGGACCCTTCCATTGATTGATCACGTGACAGATATCATAAACAAGAAATACAAGGTAAAGGTACCAAGAGAAGATGTACAACCTGTCATCGTCTGCCCAGTGGAAGTAAAAAAATATATAACGTACACAGTCTCAGAACGGAAAGAATTAGTCGGTCTTTAGATTACTGGTATGATTTTTCAAACCTATTTGCAATAGTAAAACTTCACTAATTTACTGCGAAGATTTCTAAATCTAGACTTTATAAAAACAAAGAAAATGTCATTTAACATTATTTCATTTCAGATTTTTTTTTAACACTCTGTAACTGTATTATTTCAATTAACATGTTTAGTTATCTATTAGTCTCACACTCTGATCTCACCCTGCCACAGATCACCTGACAATCTCCTTCCTTCCAATCAACTTCTTACCTATCCAAAACATATATCAAATCAAATCAAATCAAATATATATACTTGTCCCAAGCCAAAAACATAGAAAATATCATATTTTAAAACATATTTATAAACTTGAGACGGGCAGGCATTGATAGCCAGGGGCTGTTTAACACGCAGCCTCCCACTGAAGTCAGTTTTTGCAATGATGCTGACTTGAAGAAGAGGTGCTGCTGGATGTCATGCTGCTCATGGGATGGAGGGAGCTGGAGCCACTGGAGAGGATACAGTTCATAAACGTACAGGAATATTGATATGTGTAACCAATTATTTTCAGTATGAATATTGATATGTGTAACCAATTATTTTCAGTATCGTTAATTAACTTCGGGCCAACCACTCAAAACAACCAACCCTGGTTAGGCGACCATCCCTATACCTGTGTTCTGCTCCACCCTCTCCCCACCCTCTCCACCTGGCGAACAGATCTCTTGTCTTTTCCAGCGCCTTAGTCACCTCACTAAAATAATCATGTAATACAGAGAGTCCCAAATAATATTGGTTTTTCTTCGAGCTATATCGCCAATAAACGCGCATTATGCTCGAAAAATCTGGTGTTTATTCAGCAAGAAAATTTTTAAATTATATATTTTTGATAAGTATTTTAAATCTCAAATTGGAGCTGTAAACGATCTGATGTTGGACACCCTGTTCGTACAGAAATATTCAAATAATTGTATGAGGGGCTAGTCACGGCCCAATACAGAAACGTAAGGGGGGTGGGTAAAATATTAAATATACTTACGGTTAATAGCAATATCAACAAAATAATGGGTATATTCCTACAGAACGATTTTTGGACCCTCCTATCAATTTTGTACATGGATCTTACAGAAAGTGTCTTAACTAACCTAAACCGTGGCCGCAGCGCTCGGCCCAGAAAGTGTCTAAACCGGTAATTTCCTAGAGAACGATTTTTGGACCCCCCCCCCTCCTATCAATTTTGTACATGGGTCTGACAGGAAGTGTCTTAACTAAACCTAACCCGTGGCCGCAGCGCTCGGCCCCCTAGCCTGTCCTAGCCGCAGCGGCGCTCGGCACAGAAGGAGTCTTAACTAACCTAACCCGTGGCCGCAGCGCTCGGCCCCTTAGCCCATCCTAGCCGCAGCGCTCGGCCCAGAAAGTGTCTTAACCTAACCTAACCCTAAATAACAAAAAAATAAATAATAATAAATTTGCTGAAAAATAAATGGTCAAGTACAAAATTGATAGGAGGGGGGGGGGGGGGGGGGGCTGGGGGGGGTCCAAAAATCGTTCACTAGAACAGAACCAAACGTCCTTTAACTTTTCCAGATTTCAGATAATTATTCTTCAAACATGATTATTGAGAATTTCGTCATTGATTCATAAGAAAAACAATCAATATATGTTTAGTAAGTTCTTTCTTATAAATAATTCTGTTGTACTTACTCTTTCACAACGAAAAAAGGATCTTCTAACGACATTTTTAGGCTTTCCCCTGAAAAAAATAACATTAAAGGTTTGTTAAATGTACTTTTTTGGTAGAGATAATTTTGTTTTTATTTTTGCAACTTGTATCTGCAGCCGTAAATGCCGCAATTGTGTTTTATTTTTTCAAAAACAGGGTTTCTTCAAATTATTTATTATTATTAATAAAAAAAAAAATTTTAAGCTTGAATTTATTGAAAATTTAAAAAATATTTTGATTTTTAAAACTTTTTGAAATTTTATTGAAAAAGTAGAACTCTGTTTTCTTTTTATTAATTGATTGATTTTATTATTGTAACAAAGCGCAGAATTACCGCGTAGGAATCCCAAACTTTTAAACATTTAAAAATAAAAATAGTGAAAATCAACTGAAATAATCCGTTTTTGTATTGATATCACGTATTCCAGATCAGCAATGAAGACAATGAATTTAGACTCTAGAAACTGATTAATTTTATATTACTGTCATAGTATACAACATGAACATGCAGTCTCGAAACATTGAAAAAATTATCAAAAATGAATTCTGTGAAGTTAACTTTTGATGAAGGAAAGTATAAATATTCTGAAAACTATTGTTTTTACCGCCTTTCACTCAACATTACCCCAACAGAGGGACGTTAGGAACTTAAGTCACTTATTGTCCTCCCTTTGGAACAATCTTTCCATATACTTTGCTTGTCTGTTCGTTTAAACGTTAAAACGGCTGAACCGATTGGACCCAAATTTTGTGTGGGACTTACATGACCCCAGGGAAGTTTCATGGATGCTCAAAATTACAAAAATTTGTGTTCTACAGTTATTATGAAAATGCGCGAAAAAAATTAATAAATTATCGAATTTTTGTTTGTTTTTGTTTTAAATTGTTCAAAAGAACAGATGACCACAGATAGAGCCACAAATAACATGTAAAAAAGAAGATGGGCGCCTATAAAGCCTGGTTGTAGTAAAATAAATACAAATTTTGCAAAGTTCTCATTGAAAAATTCGCGGATTAGTATTCAACTATTTTTTCGGAAGTTCGGAAGTCTTGGTAAAGAAAAATTGACTTTAAACCTCCTTGTTAAGTAGTTGTAAATAATTGTATTCAAACTTGTAGTTATAGTTTTGTATGCAATTTTAACCACATTGATTTTGGGGCTTTGGGAACAGCTTAAACTAAGTTAAGCCAATCGTCTTATTCTCTAGATGTTTAGAAAGTTATTTTATTACTTTTATAGGAGACAAAATTTGGCCTCCTTCCCTCTTTGCTTAAAATCAAATGTTCTTTAGAAATAAACATATTTTGATCATAAGAGGGGGGGGGGGACAAACTTTATGATGCCAATTGGCAAAAATGGAGCAATAAATTGAGATATGAAGAGTTAAATGAATCCTAAACGGAATATAACCAAAAAGGTTATTTGTATTTTGATGTTGGTCTAGTTGAGTCTCCCTGTATTCCTTTTAATATTTATACTCTAACCAGGCTTTTCTATACACTAATCCTGACAATTATTCAATCAATCAATAAACCTGTTCAACGATCAATCAATCAAGATGAGTTTATTTCGACGGAAGAAGACGGGAAAGGTTATCCCTGTTAAAATCAGTACGATGGACGCAGAACTAGAGTTCAGTCTCGATTATAAGGTAAAATCAAACTTAGATATTTTTAGCTTCATATTTATTATTATGCATTTTAAAGACGTAATTTTATTTTCTGTTATTCTCCTTTTAAAAAAGAGGGTCATGTCCGAGTCACAACTGTACTCTTTTAATCTGTACCGTTTTCTATCTGATAATTGATGTTTTGGTTTTATCAATCAAAACGATTGGCGCATTCATGTGGCAGAAACAACAAATGAAATCGGCAGGATTAAACACGTTTTCAGATAGAAAACTTCGACGGTAACTTCTTTATTGCTAATCAGGCAAAATTGTAAAGGGTTGAGTATCGTGCATTTAACTCTGTATTGTAAGGTCACAAATATGTATGTATACATTTATTATGAAGTATCCTATATATATATATATATATATATATAATAATCTACGCCGTTAAATTCCATATATAAATAGAATATCAATTCTTTAAGATCTATCTATCTAAAGATCCGACTTATGTTTCTATTTATAATCTAAATAAATATAATTCTGGCAAAAAACTGAACATAGAACTATCTATCAATCATATCTATTTATCTATCTATCTATATTTAGGCTACTGGCCAGGAACTCTTTGATCTAGTATGTAGAACTATCGGTTTGCGTGAAACTTGGTATTTCGGTCTTCAGTTTCAGGTTAAAAATTATTTTTTGTGGTTAACCAAAAACAATTTATTTGAACCTTAATAAACTGACTTAAATCAAAATTATTTTTAATCAAATTATATTTTCTACCCTGTTCATTATAAAAGATATTTAACACCCATTCAGATTTTCAAAATTTTATTTATTTATTGTTTTAGGATTGCAAGAATTATATTGCCTGGTTGAAATTAGACAAAAAGGTAAAAATTACAGCAAAACGATAATTATACAAATTGTTAACATTGTTAACTAGATATATATCCATCTTTTTATCTATTAATCAAACTATCTATCTATCTATGTTTCTATCTATTTTTCTATCTATCATTATCTATCTATATATCTATCTATTTCTCTATCTATTTTTCTATCTATTTTTCTCTCTGTCTATCCATCTATCTAGGTGATGGATCAGCCGGATATACTTAGTCATTCCCCTGTTCAGTTCCTCTTCCTGGCCAAATTCTATCCAGAGGTAATTATCTATCTAACCAACCATTTATGTAACTATTCCCTTGGGAAAGATAGTTTTGACTGCTTGAAAAAAAAACTTGATGGAACTCCAGGAAAATATATTTCGATATATTACATGTATTTCTCAATTCTATATAAAAACAACCATATTATTTTATAACAAAAATTTAATACTGGTTTTATGATAAATCAAAATATAAAAACTATTTTTTAGATTGTCATTGGCAAAATTTTAAGGACAATTATGTAAAACACAAAACAAACTAAGAATAAAAAAAGAAGAAAATAACCAAACTTTAATCTAAGACTCACCATTTATCTAAATGTTTTTTACATATAAATTAAGAATATTCTAATTAGGATTATGCTTCGTTGTTTTTTCAATTTTTAACATGTTGAGGGGTTTTTTTCAGGAGACTCAAAAAAAAATCTGAGAATTTTATCAAAATTATATTTTAATAAAGTTTACTTTCCTTACATCATAAACTATACTAAATGTGGGCTTAGGCAGAAGTTGACTGAACAAATTTTAAAATCATTTGTTAAAGAACGATTTAATTTGCTTCATTCAGCTTCAGCTTTATATCTTCTTTCAGAGTCAATTTTTTGCATAATTTCAAAAAAAAAAATCTGAAAATTGTTGTCAAGTCTCCTAAAAGCAGAACAACCCTGAATGTTTAAAAATAAATAAAAACGTTGGCCATCTCTAGTTCAAATATTATCAAATATCTATTTATAAATTTATGTATTTATATATTTATATATTTATATATTTATATATTTATATATTTATATATTTATATATTTATATATTTATATATTTATATATTTATATATTTATATATTTATATATTTATATATTTATATATTTATATATTACAAAACCAAAGGTTTTAATGAAATGAATATTGCAGGATGTTTCTGAGGAGCTTGTTCAAGAAATAACTCAACATCTTTTCTTTCTACAGGTTACTATATATCAATCAATCAATCCATCAATCAATCAATCCACCAATCAATCAATCAATCAGGCAATCAACCGACCAACCAACCCACCCAAAAACCCACCCAGCCATCCATTCATCCATTCATAAGCCTGAACGAATTTCAAAATCATGTTAACGAACGATAGAAAAGGAATCTGAAAAGAAAAGAATTTCGAATTTTTGTCGGAGATTTTTTTGAGTCTCCTAAAAGCAGAACAACCCTGAATGTTTATAAATATAGTTTAAAAATAGTTCAAATATTATCAAATATCTATTTATCCACCCATCAACCAATTAATCCCATCAAAATGTGAACTTGTATTTTTGGCACAATGTCTTCTATATCTGCAATTTTATGTATATGTATACAATATGTATTTTATGTACAGGTTAAACAATCCATACTGAACATGGATATATACTGTCCTCCTGAAGCTAGTGTACTGCTCGCCAGCTATGCAGTACAGGTCAGTACACTGGGGTTTATTGTGTAAGTTAACAGAAACTGATGATTAGGGTCTAGGGACTTACAAAAATACAAAGGTATGATGTTGAAATCAAATTTGGTTGCAAATGTGACTTACGGGTTCTGCTGCGGAAACAATAGAGGAAATTATCAGAATTCAACTCGTTTCAGATCTTGTAAAGCGACGATATCTTCCGCGTTTTTAACCAATTTCAGGGATAAAGGGTACCGTTGTAAATCGGGCATGCCCCATTTTAAATAGAGATTACTTCGAAGTCCCTTGTATGATTAATCTGACAGGCTAAGTATGGGGACTATGATGAAGCTAGCTACCAACCTGGACTATACTTTAATGATTAATCTGTCAGGCTAAGTATGGGGACTATGATGAAGCTAGCTACCAACCTGGACTACTTGCTAACGAAGATCTCCTGCCCCAACGTGTAATTGATCAGTATAAGATGACACGGGAGATGTGGGAGGAAAGAATTAAGGTAAATCGAATAAAATCGATTCAAATTCATTAAATTTTAAAAGAAATAACCTGGATCCAAATCCAGCGCGGATCCAGGATCCGGATAGGGTTCCGCATCAAAATTAAATGGCTCCTAACCACTGTTGTCATTGAAGTCCCATCCTTTGTAGGTAAACCAGTACAGGATTTAATAAACTAGGTTTGGTATGCAGACCATAGGGGAATGTCTCGAGATGAGGCTGAGATGGAATACTTGAAAATAGCACAGGTATGTTTAAAACATTTTTCCTCCCCCTCCCCTGGACATGTACGGTGTAAACTACAGTCATCGTCGTATATATCAATACACTAAAGACGACTTTCTATTCCTTTTTGATTTCTTCCTAGCTTTCAAAAAGCAGAAACACTTAAATATTTAAACAAATCGAGAGTTTGCCAAATTTGTTTGCTTCTAAACTTGTAATTAATTCAAAGCATTGTTAATTCCAGGACTTAAACATGTGCAGTGTAAACTAATATTCTAGGATCTAGACATGTCTAGATCCTAGAATATTAGTTTAAACCGCCCATGTCTAGGTCTTAGAATATAAGTTTACACCGCACATGTCTAGGTAATAGAATATTAGTTTACACCGCACATGTCTAGGTCATAGAATATTAGTTTACACCGAACATGTCTAGGTCTTAGAATATTAGTTTACTCCGCACATGTCTAGATCCTAGAATATTAATTTACACCGCACATGTTTAAGTCCTGGATTATTATATTCTAGGATCTAGACATGTGCGGTGTAAACTAACATTCTAGGATCTAGACATGTGCGCCATTTGCGGTGTAAATTAATATTCTATGACCTAGACATGTGCGGTATTAACTAATATTCTACGATCTAGACATGTGCGGTGTAAACTAATACTCTAGGATCTAGATATGTGCGGTTTTAACTAATATTCTAGGATCTAGATATGTGCGGTGTAAACTAATATTCTATGACCTAGACATGTGCGGTTGAAAGTAATATTCTAGAATCTAGATATTTGCGGTGTAAACTAATATTCTAGGATCTAGATATTGGCGGTGTAAACTAATATTCTTGGATCTAGACATGTGCGGTGTAAACTAATACTCTAGGATCTAGATATGTGCGGTTTTAACTAATATTCTAGGATCTAGATATGTGCGGTGTAAACTAATATTCTATGACCTAGACATGTGCGGTTGAAAGTAATATTCTAGAATCTAGATATTTGCGGTGTAAACTAATACTCTAGGATCTAGATATGTGCGGTATAAACTAATATTCCAGGATCTAGACATGTGCGGTGTTAACTATTTCCAGATATTTAACAAGAAGGAATCAGATCTATGGTTGGGTGTCACAAATCTAGGAACATTTCTATTTCAATTTTTTTAGTTTTAATTTTCTTTGGTTTCATTTTTTAACTTAACCATTTAAACATCTCTCTTTTTGATTCGCATCAATTATATTTCTAGCCGCTGAAGTAGGGTTACTAATTTCCTCCGAATCAATTTGGTTCCATAAAGACAATTTAGAACCATTTCTGAAACTGTTCGGAATGATTAAACCATTAAATTAAGGGCGAAACCTTTCTCAATCATATTCAAATATGCTGCACAGAGCTAGGTGTGCTAAGCTGAACAAAAGTATTTATTATTACTTCGGTTAAAAAAAATTTCGCCCTTAATTTTTAAATGTCAAATATAGTACATTGAATTTCTCTCACTGGCATAATTGAAATTGGCATAAATGTATGGCGCCCCAGGTTTAAATATTTACGAAAATGAGAATAAGTTAACTCCAAAAATCATGTTTCCCTGGTCCGAGATCAGAAACATCAGGCAAACCAATCTAAAGGATTTAAAAGAAAAGGAAAAATTAAAGAACGTACAGTGGGGCCTATAAAACTGCGGAATAGGAAAACTTCTTTTAGGCTCAAGTTCAATGAACATAAAGCACAGCAGTTGTACAGTGTACAAAGACCCATTTCACTTTAAAAGTTGGTGAGAGTAGCTGCTACTGGTAAAAATATTTGTTTTATAAAAACATAAAATACTATTAAGGTTACTAAAATGTCGTCTTCCTATTCCACAGTTCTTTGAAGGTAAATACTATACAAATAATAATGGGTCCCAAAGTACAATAGGTGGCAACAGAGAAAAAGACCAACCATACCCAACGTACCAAGTGTCAAATATAACAAGGAAAACGAAATTTTCTCACATTATTTGACATGTTTTCCAAGATTAAAAAATTCTAAGATTATCACTATTTCTATTAATTTTGTCGGACACATAAACAGAGTTGACACTTGTGACGTAAGAATACAGCTGTACTGAGAGTGTACAAGTTCTACGTTGCCATCTATTGTACTAGAATCTATTTGATGGGTTCCATACTATCAATTATTGTTTTAAAAACTGAGGAAACGGTAAAAATAAAAGAGTAAAACCGTATGAAAAAATTTTGTTACAAAAAAATCTAATCTTTTATAACTTGGCAATTGGCGGACACAAATTTTCCTAATAATATAGAGGTTATTATTATTATTATTATTATAAAAATGTTCATTGATATCAGGGAATTTTTTTTAAATTGGACACAATAGGTGGGTCATAAATAATTTTTTACAAAGTAATGCTAGAAAGATAAAGATTGGATTGGAATTAAAGATATTCCAAAGAAATAAAGAATGGATTGGAAATAAAGATATTCCAAAGAAATAAAGAATGGATTGGAATATCTATAAAATGTGCTTAATTACAATGATTGGTTTGTATAGTTTTGATGATAAGAAATTTATAATAAAAACCGTTGATAAATCCTCCTCAAACTTTACTTTCTACTCAAAGGTAAACTTTTAAATATTAAAAAAAAGATTTTTAAGATTAATATCACAAGGGAAACTTTGCTTCTTTTCAATAATATAGATTAATCTTCTCAAAAACTAGCTTTAACCTACAAATGAAATTTCTACAGAATTTTGATTTTTAAAAATAACCCCTTAAAAAAATTCTATGTAATGTGAGTAGGGCTTCTAATCGGAATTCCGTTGCGTTGAATCGCTCGAAACTGTGCGGAATTGCGAGTATGTGTTCTCGTAATGTGCGCAATTAAAGAGCCCGCAATTGTGCGTAAGTAAAATCGACTTGCGTTGGTTACCCAAAATATATGAGAGGGGACGGGGGGAGGGGGTGTAGAATGTTTTTTTTTCATAAAATCTGTTCCTCCTCTCTCCTCTCTGCTTTCAGCATTAATTTATAATTGTGATATTTAGAAATTGCGAATGAATAAACTGATCCTTGATTTATGTATTGGAAACCATGATTTATTCATGAAACGACGGAAGCCCGACACAATGGAGGTATTTACTACAGGGTGTCCCAAAAAACATGGGAATTCAGTGACGAATTCGATATCGTCTTTGTTATGAATAAGCATTGTAATACCTAATTTCAAAAGCCATAATATTATTATGTCTGCTAGAGTTTATTTTATGAAAAGGGTAAAAGACTGTAAAGATGTGCCTAAAATGTCTCAGTAAGATGAACAGTGAAGACGGACATGTTTACTCTGTTTGTACACTGCAATTTTCTTGTTTTACTAAGTACAACCGTATGCAATCAAAACATAAACAAACATAATGTGAACATAGCAGACGAAACTATTACAGATTACAGCTTTCTCAGTAGGTATCACTATACTAAATCAAAGAATTATTCAAAAAGACGATATCGAATTCGTCACAGAATTCCCATGTGTATTGGGACACACTGTATCTGTAAATATATACAGGGTTACCCACAAAGGATGAGACTGAAAAGACGACATTTAACCATTTAAACTTGACGATTCTAAGGTTAACTTGAATATAATCTTTTCATGGCTTATTTGATGATTAGGCAAAAGTTAGTTGCAGGGAATTATGAATACAATGAAACATCCGGTATAAGTTCTGTACAAACGTCTCTGAAGTCTTGTCCTTTGTAAATAACCCTTTAGATAAAAATATCTAGGAAACCTAGCTTTGCTTGAATTTTTCAACCGACTCAACTTAGAATTTTTAAACCAGGCTAAAACCATTCCTGTGGTTTTACCGAGTTACCCAATTAGAATTTGAGGCAAATCGGTCCATAGGTTCATGAATTATGCTTGGACATCCAAACAAACAGACAGAGATTACAATTTAATATTTTTAATAGTCTATTAAGGCGCTTCGCGCCCATCTTCTTTTGATTGTTTCTTAATCTTTCAGCATTTTCTCTTCGAAAAACAATAATAAAAAATTAGTTGGTTTAAAATTTTGTTTCTGTGGATTTTCAAAATTTTACGAAGATCAACATTTTTGGAGAAAACTTTTTTTTCAATTCGAAGCATCCATAACCTTCCCTGGGGTCATGTGAGGTCCCACACAAAATTATATAATTAGCAGACAATCCATCATTCAATATATATGTTGTTAATAGTTAAAGAAGTACTAATATCTGTCTGTTCTTTTGTTCTTATCATTGTCCGATCATACCCTGTAAACTCTTTGACTGGTTTGCCTAACATTTTGATTGGGGAACTCGGTAAAGGAGCAGGTTTTACTTCCTTGCAAAGCTGGGTTCCTATAAAATTAAAGTGATTGTTCACCTTTTTACTGAAATACCACTAATTTTAAAATGGAGCTCAGTCCTAATTGTTTTTTATTAAACTTTATTTTTTCCTCAACATACTTGTTTATAGGTTCAGCAAATGAAAGCTCAGGCTAAAGAAGAAAAGCTGAGACGACAAATAGGTATTAATTGCAAATTTCTCTTTGGCCCTTGCATGTACTCGTTGATCCTTATTTGCACTCTTTGACCCTTATTTGTAATCTTTGACCCTTATTTGTAATCTTTGACCTTTATTTGTGCTCTTCGACCCTTATTTGTACTCTTTGACCCTTATTTGTACTCGTTGACCCTTATTTTTATCTTTGACCCTAACATGGACTCTTTGACTCTTTCATGTACTCTTTGACCCTTTCATGTACTCTTTGACCCTTTCATGTACTCCTTGACCCTTACATGTACTCCTTGACCCTTACATGTACTCCTTGACCCTTACATGTACTCCTTGACCCTTACATGTACTCCTTGACCCTTACATGTACTCCTTGACCCTTACATGTACTCCTTGACCCTTACATGTACTCCTTGACCCTTACATGTACTCCTTGACCCTTACATGTACTCCTTGACCCTTACATGTACTCCTTGACCCTTACTTGTACTCTTTGATCCTTAATTGTATTCTTTGACCCTTACTTGAACTCTTTGATTTGATCCTTACTTGTATTCTTTGACCCTTACTTGTATCCTTTGACCCTTACTTGTACTATTTTACCCTTACTTGTACTATTTGACCCTTACTTGTACTATTTGACCCTTACTTGTACTATTTGTTCTTACTTGTACTTTTTAACCAAACAAGCATTCTTTGACCCCTTACTTGTACTTTTCGATCCTTACTTGCACTATTTGACCTCACTAGTACTATTTGACCTCACTTTTAATATTTGACCTCACTTGTACCTTTTTACATCACTTTTACTATTTGACCTCACGTGAACTATTTGCAAAGAGAATAGAATATATATTAGAGTGGAATTTACTAAAAAAAAAAAAACGATGATTTCCCGTTTTAACTAAAAATAAAATGATGTTTTTATTCACCTAATTCATTTTAAAAAGTTTATTTACCAGCTTTAAAAAATTCGAAATTAAAATGGATAGTCAAGGGAACATATTGTATTAATGTACTCTACTGCATATAATTTGTGAACATTTACATGATTTGTACACTTTGACTCCCTTTCAGGCTGAAAGGGACTGGCGAAATTCATACCGAGGGATTGTCTAAATTCCACTCTAATATATTTCTCTTTGACTATTTGACCTTTCTTGTACTATTTGACCTCACTTGTACTATTTGACCTTACCCTTACTTGTACTATTTTACCCTTTCTTGTACTATTTGACCTCACTTGTACTATTTGACCTTAGCTGTACTTTTTCATCTATATTGTACTATTTGACTTCTCTTGTATTCTTTGACCCCTAATTTGTACTGATCTATTTTTACTTTACTCTTTTTAAATCATTTTGTTGTACTATTTGACCTTGTTTGTATTATTTGACCTCACTTGTACTATTTTACTAGGATTCTTTGACCACTTACCTGCACTTTTCGATCCTTGCTTGTACTCTTTGACCACTTACTTGTACTATTTGACCTCCCTAGTATTCTTTGACCTCACTTGTACTTTCTGACACGACCTATGACCTTGTAGAGCGGAGTAAACTAGCACGTGAGAAGCAGCTGAGAGAAGAGGTGGAGAGAGAGAAGGCAGCCTTGGAGACAAGGCTTATACAATACCAGGAGGAGGTAGTAGTTCATTCATTAATTCATCCTTTCATTCATTCATTCATTCATTCGTTCATTCATTCATTCATCCTTTCATTCATTTATTCATTCATTCATTCATTTATTCATTCATTAATTCATTCATTCATTCATTCATTCACTTACTCACCTATTCATTTGTTCATTTATTCCATTGTGGCTATTTTTGATGAGGTCTCAGCCCTGACTCTACGGAATGATGGTTGATTGTTTGTTTGTTTTTGTATTTATATGTATTTATAGATTCATATATTCATATATTTATATATTCATATATTCATATATTCCTTTATCTATCTATCTATCTATCTATCTATCTATCTATCTATCTATCTATCTAGGTTAGACAAGCTAAGGAAGCGCTACAGCGAAGTGAAGAGAGTGCTGAACTCCTGGCTGAGAAATCTATGGTAGCTCATCAGGAAGCTATGCTACTTCAGCAGAAAGCTAGGTGATACATTCATTCATTCATTCCATAATCTTTCCATTCATTCATTCATCTTTCCACTTACTCAAGAAGCTATGCTGCTTCAACAGAAAGCTAGGTGATACATTCATTCATTCATTCCATAATCTTTCCATTCATTCATTCATCTTTCCACTTAAGAAGCTATGCTGCTTCAACAGAAAGCTAGGTGATTCATTTAAACATAAATTTATACATTCACTCTTTCATTCATTCATTCATTTATTCATCCTTTCATTCATTCATTCACTTAGTTGTTCATTCACTTAGTTATTCATTCATTTATTCATTCATATATTCATATATTCATAAATTCCTTTATTTATCTATCTGTCTGTCTTTTCATTAAATCATGAAGTCTATGGTAGCTCATCAAGAAGCTATGCTACTTCAGCAGAAAGCTAGGTGATACATTCATTCATTCATTCCATAATCTTTCCATTCATTCATTCATCTTTCCACTTGCTCAAGAAGCTATACTGCTTCAACAGAAAACTAGATGATTCATTAAACCATCAATTTATGCATTCATTCTTTCATTCATTTATTCGTCTTTTCTTTTATTCATTAACTTAGTTATTCATTCATTTATTTATTCACATATTCATATATTCATATATTCATATATTCATATATTCCGTTATCTGTCTATCTGTATGTCTTTTCATTAAATCATGAAGTCTATGGTAACTCATCAAGAAGCTATTCATCTATTCATTAATTCTTAAAGTCTATCGTAGCACATCAGGAAGAAAGCTAGTAGAAAGCTAGGTGATTCATTCTACCATTGATTTCTGCATGCATTCATTTATTCATACGTTTATTAATTCATTTAGTTATTCATTCATTCTATGTATTTTGTATATTTAACTATCTATATCTTACTATCTAGATATCTATCTGCTATTTCTAACTATCTGTTTATCAAATTTTACTATCTATCTAGCTCTGTATCTGTTATATCTATCTATCCAACAAATCTTATTATCTATCTAGCTATGTATCTGTTATATCTTACTATCTATCTATCAATAAATCAAGCTATTCATCTGTTATATCTAACTATCTATCTATCGAATCTTACTACCTATCTAGCTAAGTATCTGTTATTTCTAACTATCAATCTATCAAATTTTACTATCTAACTAGCTATTTATTTGTCATATTAAACTATCTAGCTATATATTTTGCTATCTCTTTTTCTCTATATATCTATCTATCTATCTAGTGAGGCTGAAGCTGAGGTACAGAGGATCAAGGTTTCTGTAATTAAAACTGAGGAGGAGAGGCAGCATATGGAGAGGAAGTCACGTGAGAGTGAGCTGGTCATGCGCCGGATACTAGAGGACGCTGAGCGGCGGAAGAACGAGGCGGAGAACCTCCGCCTGGAGGTTCAGCAGGCTAGGGAGGCGGAGAAGGAAGCAAAAAACAAACTTCTTGAGTTCTTGAATATCTCTGTAACAGAGATGAAAGGTTCGCCTACAGGAGGTTCAGGGGGTACTCCGGCTCCCTCCTGGAATACAGGGAACTCCTGGCAGAGGAACGGGTACTCTCCGGGGGACATGGAGCGGAGACAAGGTTCAAATCTGTCTCCAGAATTTATTCATGAACTGAGGAACCAGAGTTTTGATCAGGGGAATCAGGGACACCATGGAAACCAGTTCTCTTTACATCTTCAGAATGAGGAACTCACCCAGTCAGCATTGGATATCAGGTAGTAGAAGGATACTAGCTGGATACCATGTAGTAGAAGGATACTAGCTGGATATCAGGTAGTAGTAGGATACCAGCTAGATATCAAGTAGTAGAAGGATACTAACTGGATATCAGGTAGTAGAAGGATACTAGCCGGATATCAGATAGTAGAAGGATACTAGCTGGATATCAGATAGTAGAAGGATACTAGCTGGATATCAGGTAGTAGAAGGATACTAGCTGGATATCAGGTAGTAGAAGGATACTAGCCGGATATCAGGTAGGATAAGGATACTAGCTGGATATCAGATAGTAGAAGGATACTAGCTGGATATCAGGTAGTAGTAAGATACTACAGCTGGATATCAGGTAGCAGAACGATACCAGGTACTAAAAGAATACTATCTGGATATTAGGTAGTAGAAGGACACTAAAGCTGGATATCAGGTAGGATAAGGATACTAGCTAAATATCAGGTAGTAGAAGGATACTAGCTGGATATCAGGTAGTAGAACGATACCAGGTACTAAAAGGATACTATCTGGATATTAGGTAGTAGGTAGTAGAAGGATACTAGCTGGATATCAGGTAGTAGAATAAGGATACTAGCTAAATATCAGGTAGTAGAAGGATACTAGCTGGATATCAGGTAGTAGAACGATACCAGGTACTAAAAGGATACTATCTGGATATTAGGTAGTAGGTAGTAGAAGGATACTAGCTGGATATCAGGTAGTAGAAGGACACTAAAACTGGATATCAGGTAGGATAAGCATACTAGCTAAATATGAGGTAGTATAAGGATACTAGCTGGATAGCAGGCACATGTTTACTCAGAAAGTATGATTCTTCAGAGACGACTTTACGATAATTCTGCAGAGTTTGTCTGGCATTTCCCTTGAGCTGGAATCTGTTTATCATTTAGTAGATCATTTAGTAGATCATTTAGTAGATCATTTAGTAGATCATTTAGTAGATTATTTAGTAGATTATTTAGAAGATCATTTAGTAGACCATTTAGTAGATCATTAAGTAGATTATTTAGTAGATCATTTACTAGATCATTAAGTAGATCATTTAGTTGATCATTTAGTAGATAATATAAAACCTATGTTCAAAACAAAATATCAATTAAATCCTCAGATCGCTATATTTAATATTTTTGGTAGTCATTAAATGCTCATCCTGTAGTTACCACTTAAATCTGACATTTAATGAATTTTTTTAAATTTTCTGTTTTACAAAATGTTGACAAACCCCTTTCCTTAGACTCTCATCTAGATTTTAGGCACCTGCCCAAGAGTGCATAGAAATATTACTTTTGGATTGATTGCTACTGTTATTATTACGTTTTTATTCCAGAGTTTTCAATATATCAAGAATGTTTTTTCCTTCAATTAGAGAAAAAAATTATTTTTAGGGGAGACATGAATGATATTTGGGTTTGAAAGGTTTTAAACCGTGAGGGAAATATTCAAACATTATTATTATTTCAAAATCTATATATTGCATCCATATAAGTTTAGCTTGTGTCGGTGTCTGTTTATTTGTTTGTATCCAATAAACGTCAAAACGGCTAAACCGAACGGGCCCAAATTTTTTGTGGGACCTCACGTGACCCCAGGGAAGGTTTATGAATATTCAAAATTTCAAAAATTTGTGCTTAAAAAATTTTATTTGTAAAATTTTGAAAAGGCACGAAAAGATATTATGAAATTAATGCTCAAAGAAAAAGCCACAATTAAAAGTTGAAATAGAAGATGGGCGCGAAGCGCCCTAAATGCCTTGTAATCTATATATAATATATATTCTTTGCTTGTCTGTCTTTTTGATTGTATCCAATAAACGTCAAAACAACTGACCCTCACTTGACCCAAGGGATGGTTTGTGGATGCCCGAATTAAAAAAAATTTTCTTGAAACAAAATTCGATTTTTGAAAATCCACGATTTATTCTGCGAATCTTTTGTTCTTGTTTTACAATGTATTCAACGAGAAAATGTTAACAAATGAAAAAGAAAATGGGCTTCGCGCCCAGTATAAATTTACTTTGCTTGTCTGTCTGTAGGTTTGTATCCAATAACGTCAAAACGGCTAAACCGGTGGTTCCCAAATTTTTTGTGGGACCTCACATGACCCGAGTAAAGGTTTATGGAAGCTCAAAATTATAAAAATTTCAAAAAAATTTTGTAAAATTTTGAAAATGCACGAAAATATAATCTCAGATTGAGTCAAAATTAAAAACAGAAAACGAGAATATTCGCGCCCTAAAAGCTAGTTACATTTGAAAATAAAATGTTAACTCTGTTTTTAGTAATGGTTTTAATGGAAGGCATCTAAGTCATTTCTCTGTTCCCAACCTGTCCATACCAGCCTACGCCCACAGGTACATTACATTATTATGGAAACTGACCCCATCCGAAATGTGCGTTTGTCTGTAAGAAAGATTGTTTGTCTGTGTTAAGGGACCCCCAACTGTTAGTTTTAGGTACATAGAACACAATTGAATATCTGTAATTGTAATCCTACTATTTATGTGATTTTTCATATTTTCAATTTTTTTATTATTTTAAAAGAATTGTTATACACGTTTTTATTTCAATTTCTCAATAAATAAAGAATTTTTTTCTCGATCAAGTTTATAAGAAGAGGATATTCTGTATAGTTTTTAAGAAGAATATATACTGTAAAGTTTTGATTAAGTTTATAAGAAGATGATATCCAGTAAAGTTTTTGCCACATTTTAATGTTGTACATTGTTATTACTCAGGAGCTGAAAACTTTAGAATTGCGGATATCGAGATCAATGCTTTATCTCATGCTTTATCTTAAAATTATTTAATCTTTAGTTTGTATCCAGGACAGTAACTAAAATGCAACCAATCCGAGTGAAAATTGTGGAAACCAAAGAGCCAATCAGAAGCCGGGAAATTTGAAATTTTGGGCTTTACAAATATCCAAAATAAGGGAAAAAAGCGGATTAAGAAGAAATAAAAATGTCCACAGTGGATATCTTGATGAAGCGATCGGTTTTAAATTATAAAATCAAAAATTTTAATTTTATGTTGCTAATTTTTTTCATTTATATTTTAGGTTTGATTTATCCTCGTCTGTTTCCCATGAATTAATGACAGGTAGTTTATTTTTTTCATTTTTATTTTTTTTAATCTTCTCAAATACTTTATTAAACAGCAAAACAAACAGAAATTTATTTTATAAAATTATTTAGTTTATTATTGTTATCCCCCACATGCACTCTATATCGTGTAGCTCCCCGGACACAATATATTTATATATATGTATATATATGATATATATGATATATATATATAGACACTACACAGTGTTTTGTCCTAATAGGACAAGGAAGATATATATATATATATATGTTATTCTATTAAAATGTCTGTTTCAAACTTGTGGCCTTATAAATGATTTCATTTGATTTGAAATTTGAAAATCAAATTCAGACGATAAAATATCGCCTAATCGGCAGCAGATGCAGATGGCCGCTGATTTAGCGACAAAAAAAAACTATGAACATGAAGAGACAAATAATTGCTCATATTCATCCCTCATTTACGCTTTCTTACTTACGACAAAAAATCGCTTATGAGGCAGCAGAAGTTGGTAGCTGCCAAGTGCTACCAAAGCTTAGACTGAAAATACTAATTATCGCTTATATTTTCGACAAAAAATCGTTCATATTCAAGTGTTGCCATGAAAATTAACGATTTTAAATCGCATATTATTTTACTTTCCGTCGTCTACAATGAAGTTGACTTTTAGTTATTAAGCGATGTCACTTTTAAATAATTTTTTTAGTTATTTAGTTAAAAGGGGATGGTGGAGTTGGCACATTTGATGTAGGGGGGGGGGGGCTGCCTTCATTTTTGGTTCANGTCATTAGAGGTCATTAGAGGTCATTAAAATTCAATTTGATTTTATTTTAGGAATTTCGATCACTAATTAGGCGTGCACCCAAAAAATTGGAAGATTTGAACCAAAAATGAAGGCAGGGCCCCCCCCCCCTACATCAAATGTGCCAACTCCACCATCCCCTTTGATTATTTAATAATGTTTTTATTATTTTACTCTAAAACAGAGACTTGTATATTTATAATTATGATTAATTTAAAAAGGAAATTATTAGAATTTGCACATTTCTTTAGTTCTAAAAACTGCAATTTATTCCTCATTGTCAATTAGATGACATTTAAAAGGGCACTGTTGTGAATCAGATATGCCACTCTACAAATGAAGGGTTACTTGAAATTACGCCTATAGTCCCTTTAAAATATTGATCCCTGGTATTTAGAAAACGACATGGAGGCGTTGTCCCTTGAGATTGAGCGAGAACGCTGGCAGTATTTGGAGAAGAGTAAAACTCTTCAAGATCAGCTAATCACATTCAAATCAGAGATTGACGAACTCAAGGTAATTATTCAAGATGGCCGACAATTAAGGGTCAGCTGTTGATTTCCAAGATGGCCTACATTCAGCATCAGCTGATCACATTCAAGATGGCCGACAATTTTGAATGATTTTCATCGTATTAACAAGCAAAGGGCTAGTCCGTGAGGGAACAAATTTCAGAGAACACTTTCCCAAGTGACTTTCAATTATTTTTTTGTCCATTAAACATTTTTTTAAAGGCTTTTTTTGCACTAGACCATTTCTTTTAGTGAAGAATTGTAGTAAAAATATCTCAAGTGCCTCTTTCCTAAATGACTTTTTATCGTGACTTATTCAAAATTAAACCTGTAATAATGTTAAGCTAAGAATGTTATATCATTTAATTGTATTTTGTACAGCTGTAGAAATTGCTGGAAACATTATAGACATTTGTACACTTATTTAAGTTTGACCTTTTTATGTAGCTCTCATAGGTTGTTCATTTTGACTGTACTCTTTAAACTCTGGTGTACTTACCGATCTTGAAATCATCAGTGTACACACTTGAGTATTGTGACTTTTGTACCCACTACTTTCTTTATGTACTGTTGTACAGGTTGATGAGAATATGAGTGAACTTGATAAACTACATTCAGAGCAACAACATCTGGGAGACAATAAGTACTCAACTATTCAGAAGGTTATAATTTATTGTTTATTCATTCATTTATTCATAATTCATTCATTTATTCGTAATTCATTCATTTATTGTTCATGCATTCATTATTCATAATGTATTCATTTTTTGTTCATGCATTCATCTATTCATAATTCATTCATTTATTGTTCATTCTTTCATTTTTAAAATTTTATTTATCCATTAATTTTTTACATTTACCAATTATTTTGTGTATGCAAATGATTCTTGAAAGGTTTAAATTGTTTAATAATTAATTTTTTAATTTACTTATTTACCAACTAATATTTTTGATTTACTTATTTACTAACTAATATTTATAATTTACTTATTTACTAATTCATAATTTTCAATTCGTCTGATATAACTTTTAATATTTCCTGATGATTCATTTATTGACTAGATAAAAAATTAATATATTTTATTAATATATTATATTAAATTATTATTATTAAATTATATGAATATATCAACATATCAGTATCAAAAATTATACTCATAAAATTACGTTTACGAATTATTAAGATCAAAAACTTGCTGTTTTTATTTTTTGTTTTTTGTTTTTATCTCTCATAATTTTAGCTTAACGTTTAAAATACACGAACAGTCCCTTTAAGTGTTATTTTTTAGGTAAAACGGGGATCCACACAGTCACGTGTAGCTTTCTTTGAAGAGCTCTAGCCGCAGCGAATAGTTGATAAATTAATTATCAAATCTCCGAATTTTTTATTTTAAACTGTCCGGAGAATGGATTACAAAATTTCCGGAGAATTGATTACAAAATCACCGGAGAATTGATTACAAAATCTTCGGAGAATTGATTACAAAATCTCCGGAGAATTGATTACAAAATCTTCGGAGAATTGATTACAAAATCTCCGGAGAATTGATTACAAAATCTCCGTAGAATTGATAACAAAATCTCCGGAGAATTGATTACAAAATCTCCGAATTTTTTATTTTAAAATATCCGGAGAATTGATTACAAAATCTCCGGAGAATTGATTGCAAAACCTCCAAATAATTGATTATATAATCTTCGAATTATTTTCAAATTTATTGATTATAAAATACTTGAGAGAAGTGTTTTATTATATATCAGAACTAACCGCGTGTTAAATGTTCAAATAACAAATGGCTGTAATTATTTTTTAATGATGAATATTTTTTAATGTTATATTTTTACAGAGGAATAGAACCAAGAATATAATACAACTATATAAACAATACAAATAGTAACTAACAAAATGTATGAAGCTTTAATATCAAATATTTAGATGTTTTTCCAAAAAAAAATTATTTTACAAAAAATCTGTCCAAAAATCAGCAAGACCAAAAAGGCTGTTTAATAGTAAGACGACATTTAACAATCAGTATATTTTAAGAAAATATTTTTACCATTAGATTGAAAATTAATTTCAAAGCGGAAACAGGGTTTTGAACACTGCACAATCGCCGTGGACTTTTTAAAATTATAACTTGATTCTTACAGTCGTCTTTATGTAAAACTATTCTGTGGGTCTCCTTCTAGAATTAGAAAACGGTAATTCTAGCCAACTAGATCTCTAGTTAGATCTATCAATATCAATCTTCATTAAGATCTATGCAAATAGATTTACAGTAATATCTATCAATATAGATCTCTAGTTAGATCTATCAATATCAATCTTCATTAAGATCTATCTAAATAGATCTACATAAGATCTTTCAATATAGATCTTTAGTTAGATCTATCAATATAAATCTTCATTAAGATCTATCCGAATAGATCTACAGTAAGCTCTATCTCAATAGATCCACAGTAAGCTGTATCCAAATAGATCTTCAGTAAAAGATCTATCCAAATAGATCTACAGTAAGCTCTATCCAAAAAGATCTACAGTAAGATCTATCCAAATAGATCTCTAGTTATATCTATCAATATAAATCTTCATTAAGATCTATCCAAATAGATTTACAGTAAGCTCTATCCAAATAGATCTTTAATTAGATCTATCAATATAAATCTTCATTAAGATGTATCCTTATAGATCTTCAGTAAAAGATCTATCCAAATAGATCTACAGTAAGTTCTAACTAAATAGATCTTTAGTTAGATCTATCAATATAAATCTTCATTAAGATCTATCCAAATAGATCTTCAGTAAAAGATCTTTCCAAATAGATCTACAGTAAGATCTATTCAAATAGATCTACAGTAAAATCTATTCAAATAGATCTACAGTAAGCTCTATGCAAATAGATCTACAGTAAGATCTATCCAAATAGATCTCTAGTTAGATTTATCAACATAAATCTTCATTAAGATCTATTAATTATTCATTAATAATTGTGGTGTGATATAAATGTGCCTTATCTTAAAAAGTTGTTAATTGTTGAAATATATTTTACACAAACTTATATTTTTCTCTTTTTATTTAAAATTATGAATTTTTAGATCTATTGCCAAACTGTACAGATTTTATTTTTTCCAGAAGTATTTATAGTAAGGCTCTGAAAGGAACGGACGTTTTAATCTGAAGTGCACTTCTAGAGGTACGTCCGATTTACGAAGGTACTCTTTAAACCTTTTAAGAAAAAGTTTAAAACATTGAAGAAGATATCATCGTTTTTATATTTGAAAACAAAATTTAATCTAACAAATTCATTCATTTTAAAGTCTGATTCTTCGTGGCTAAGTTTTGAGGTAAATCTGTTAGAGGAATTCCTGAGTTATGATCGTAATCCCAAAAACACATGTGAATTTAGACTTTCAAAAGGCATTTGAATTTTACGGTTTACAGAAGATATAAAGACAACAAAACTCGATAGGCCTGCTTAACTTGAGATGAAAACTTTAGAATGAGACATCCTTAATCACAAACGCTTAATCTGATTATCCATTTCTTCTTTTAGGATATCCCTACTGTATAAAAGTCACGTTTGATAACAATTACAAATACAATGCTATATCGATTGGACTAATATCCGATTGAATCAAAGCTGTTCATTTAAACAAATATAAATTAAAACATGTTAATATGAAATTATTAAAAAGCATATTTTAGGACTATTGTCATTTTTAACGTTAGTCTTAATAAACATTAATCTAAAACTTACGTTCGTTCAATCGATGTTTAGTTCGATTGATATGACACCATCAACACCAGAATCAAAACCGGTGTTTCAAAAGTTACAGAGTGACATCTTTACAAGACACGCTGATTGGTTAAATTTTTAACTTCTTTCTTAGATATCGAATGCGTATTAAAATAATCTCGGGTTTAGTAAAACCAGGAGTTTAAGCATTAATCTTGATATCCACCATTCTAAAGTTTTTAGCTCTGACTCTTTATAAACTAACTTTTCAATAAAAAATTAGGATTTTCTCTCAACGTGAACTTGTTTTTGCAGGGACAGTGTACGCCTAAAAAACAGAAAAGTTGATGGACGTACAAATTAAATATCAGTTTTTGAAGTATAATAACTAATAAATCACAAAGCACGCTTTAAGAAGGACTGCACGATTTTCAGTGATGTGGTATACCTTCTTTACAGAGTCGGCCTAAGGGGAAAAAATTGGGCACAACTAAAGAGACCTTCCATAGGCCTTTATGATTTAATGCTAAACACTTTTGCCTGTGACGTAACTTAGTCAGTCAAAATGGCATTTTATAAATAAGAGGTCTTGACTTCAAATGAAGAAATAATTAAAGATCATTCTAGGGAATTTCATATGGCATGTTCGATTCACATTTTTAGAGTAGAAAATCCGATTCACATGGGTTGGGTACCCTTAAAAACATTTTCTGATTAATATCGGCTGAATTTATCTAGGTTTTCTCTTTAAAAATTCATTAAATTCAATGTGGTTTCTCTACATAAAGAGACTTCAGCTCAGGCGCGTACACAGGATTTTAGCCAGGGGGGGGCCCCCCCCTGGAATTGTTTTGCTCTAAAAGTCAATCAACACCATAAAAATACACCAAAAAGACTACATTTTTGGGTGTTACTAATCTTTTTGGAGTCTAAAATTTATTCCTTTGCTCGAAAAACTAACTTTAACTTTTTAACTTTATAAATTTATAAATTTATCAGTTAACTCCATCACAGCTAACTAAATCAATTATCACAGCATCATTAAAAAATTATATTTCCACTAATAAACGAGATTTCTTCTGAAATTTGTAGATAGAATTTTACTCCATCTACATATTCACCAACTCTTTCAAGCTTTAATTTTCTTGGATTTTCAATTATTTTCTCAGTAGTGAGCCATAAGTGCAAGATCGTTAAGTCTGCTCTCCGTCATAGTACATCTTGTGTAATGAAGTATTCTCTTTAAAAGGCTAAAACTTCTCTTTCCTTCATTCGATGTTATTGTCATCATTGCATAATGGGGAACTTGAAATTACGCTTAATATCTCTTTATGGAAATAAAGGAATTGAGTCTTTGCCACAAACTCTGATTTTCTAATCACTATATCGTTGGAACCGCGAACTCATACTTCTAGGGGTCAAAGAGTACCTCAATGATAGCGGGGTGGTTTGGTGTTTTAATGGATTTCATAATAGAGTGTAAAATAACTCCGGGAATGGAACTATTTGAACAACAATATTTCACTGAGCAATCTATCATATTGACGAGAACTGAAGAAGGACATGAGAAGGACTAAACTAACTTAAATTTCTCCCTACAGAACTCATGTACACCACAAGTACTCAATGACATAACAACAGTCAATGTTCACAACCGACCTAGATAAAATAATCGGAATATCTTTAAAACATCTCTGTACATTTATATCTTTCAAGATGAAAAATGTTTTCTTATGTAGACCTTAGATATTTCAAATTATGAATTCTCTTAAACCAAATATTCTGAATTTGAAATATCAAAGGTTTACAACATCAGATTCCAAAGGTTTAAATATTTGAGTTTGTGCCAAAGACTCAATTCCTTTATAAATTGACTGTAAGAAAAAATAGAAAAATAGAAAGTAAAATACCTTTATTACATCTTCCATCATGTATCTTGAAATCTTTGCATTAACAGTGAATTTAGACAAATCCTTAGTCTTTGTCATTGTCAGATGTTACTTTTTCAATTTTTTCCTTTTAATTTTGTATTTTCCAGGGGGGGGGAAGGCCCCCCCTGGAACTCCCAGGGGGGGCAAAAGGACTACTGCCCCCCCTATGTACGCCACTGCTTCAGCTGTTCTACTGCAGAAAAAATGGGAATATATTATGAGAATTAAACTCATTTCAAGGTAGAAACACAAGGATATCTTTAACAATATCGATCAAATAAAGGATTAAAAAGTAGAGTTGTAAATCGGGCATGCTCCCCTTTAAATTAAGGGTATTCTGATTTCTACTACAGTCTCTTTAATAAATACAAATATATAATAACTTTTATAATTGTTCATTTGTCACAATCATTTATCTTTAGAAGTTAGGAATTTGATCTTTATTAACTAAATTTTTACGCAAAATAACAATATGGAAAGCTACATTTATAATATCATCAACTACAAAATAAAAAGTTTTATATATTTCAATAATATATATAAAAATAATCAAATCAGTGGCCGAATTTAAAGAATTTGAGCGGCGGCTTAAATTTAAGTCGCGGCTTAAATATTGTTGGTTCCACTTAAAATTGTATCAAATGTTTTAAGATTTAAGCCGGCGCTTAATTTAAACCGGGTTATGGCAGATTTAAACCGCGGCTCAAATTCTTTAAATTCCATCTCTGATTACAGTCTGTTACAATTCAGAAAAGTGAAAATGAATAAAGATTTTTACAAAATTATATGCTTGAAAATTTTCATAATACTGAAAAGAAATAATCTACAGTTTAAACTATTTTCTAAAAGTCGTTTTTTCAATATACTCAATGAGTATTAACATAAAAGGATACAACTGGTTTTAAGCTTGATCTCAAGGTTAGACTTCAGTTTAAACGGGTCTCTTGCAGTTTAAAAACTTCTGGTTGGTTCTCCTTCAAAAGCCGGGATCATGCTACCCTTGACTTTCACCTTAAAAAAAATTTAAAATATTTTTCTGCTCTAAAATATTTCCAGATTCCCTGCTTTAAAATGTTTCCAGATTCCTGCTTTAAAATATTTCCAGATTCCTGCTTTAAAATATTTCCAGATTCCCGCTTTAAAATATGTCCAGATTCCTGCTTTAAAATATTTCCCGATTCCTGTATTAAAATATTTCCAGATTCCTGCTTTAAAATATTTCCAGATTCCCTGCTTTAAAATATTTCCAGATTCCCTGCTTTAAAATATTTCCAGATTCCTGCTTTAAAATGTTTCCAGATTCCTATATTGAAATATTTCCAGATTCCCTGCTTTAAAATATTTCCAGATTCCCTGCTTTAACAATTCTCCAGATTCCCTGCTTTAACATATTTCCAGATTCCCTGCTTTAAAATATTTCCAGATTCCTGCTTTAAAATGTTTCCAGATTCCTATATTGAAATATTTCCAGATTCCTTGCTTTAAAATATTTCCAGATTCCCTTCTTTAAATATTTCCAGATTCCCTGCTTTAACATATCTCCAGATTCCCTGCTTTAACATATTTCCAGATTTCCTGCTTTAAAACATTTCCAGATTCCCTTCTTTATAATATTTCCAGATTCCCAAATGTTACTAAAGAGAAAAATAAATCAAAATAAATCTTTTTTTAGTTTTTAAACTTCACTTCACATTTTATTCAAAAAGAATTATACTACGGTGGCAGGCGATTATATCAATACAATGAAGGCGACTTTCTAATAAAATTTTTATTTACATCAAGCTGTTGAACAGCATGATGGATACACATAAACATAGAAGTCAAGAGAATTTATCAATTAAAAAGGTTATCATTTGATTACTTAAATACTTGTAATTCAAAAAAAATTTTAAAAAATTAAAACTTGAATAAACGTCTCATGACGATGATTCTCATTAGTCAAAATTATTTATATAGATTTAATATAAATTCCATTAAAGAGTTTGGACCCAATCTTTTACACATTTATGTTTATCACGAAAAAACGAATATTTCGCCAATAAGGTCCTATATCAAGCACTTCTTAGCTCTAGGACTTGAAAAAACAAAAGTCTGTTAATCTTTAAGTGAGTTGGTTCATAAGTTGAACCAGTCTTGTAAAATTGATGCAACTTTTCATAGAAATCTGGACTTATATGCTTCTGAAATTAATCCTTGATGGTTCTAAACATATATTGTGGCCTATAATGCCTATAATGCCTCCCCCCCCCCCACCACTTCTTCAAACAAGACTTAAGCTTAGAATTACTCTGCATCGTTAATATTTATATAAAAAAACATTTTAAGATATGAATTATAATACTATGTTTGGAAAAAATCTAATGTTTAATAAATATGATTTTGTTCCGCAATGATTAATTGTTGATAAATAAAGAATTTTTGCTTCCTCATTTTTCTATATTCTAAATGCTTTAAAACATGTCATATAATTCTATAATTTATTTAGTAAATGTGGTTTAATTTTTACCTGTGGGCCTCTCCTGTTGGCGGGATTGGGACCCATAGCACTTCCCTTAAACAATTTTTTTTATTATTAAAAATACATTATAGTGATGTCTTTAAATGAACATTATAAATATATACATTGCATCACCTCCAAAAAAAAACTTATGGGGAAGAAATTATTTAGTCTCAGAGTTGGAAAAATGACAAAACCTCTTGTCGAATTCAGAGTCCTTAAAACTAACTGACCTTTGGTCCCTTTCTGTTTGCAGGATTTGGCCCAGCAGCATTCTCCTTGCAACTTCCTTTCCGCAGTGTTGGATTAGGTCCGGTCCAGGTAGTGTAATCAGTTCTAAATTCAAATATTTTAAAGGGACTGTATACGTAATTTTAAGTGACCCCCCCCCCCAGATTACTCTTCAAACTTTTTTATTTAAAAGGCACCTATGTGAAGAAGACATTCTAGTCTTAAGATAAACGAATTTTTTAAAATTAATTATTTTTATTGTTGTTTTATCCTATTCCAAGTGATACTGGCAATTAATGCCGGATTTACAACGGTAAAAGCTTTGTCGGAACAAGAATAAATTAGAGATATCTTTTGTACTGCAGTGTACTGTCTCTGGGCGGTAATGTAAACATAAAAAATCAATGAAATATTCTGGTTAAAGGAACCTATTATGTGAATTATCAAAATTTTCAAAATTTAATGCTTTTGTCTTCCACGGATACTAAACAAGCACTGATGCATCTATCCTTGTTTACAAATTTCGCCCAGAGATAACTAGTTTCAATATGTACGCAGAGTATACGCAATTGCAATCAAAATTATAACCTTGGAAAACATTGAACTCATTTACAATATTAAAAATAAACATTAGTCAACAAAATTGAAAAAAAATCTTTATCTACGTACATGTTTTTCAATACACTTACAATATACATTTGGAAGCCTAGTATAAAGTCAGCAGTGTATAGAAACTTCAAATGAATGATTAAAATACTATTTTTTTTTCTTTCAAAATTGCAAGAACCTTGAGCAATCACAGAAAAATAAAAAATAAATGATAAATACTAGTTTTACCCATCTTCTAAATTAATTGGTAACATGTTCTCTTTGTGTACATCGTAAAACAAAACAAAAATAATTCGCGGATTTTCACAAAACATTTCTTGGATTTTCAAAATTTTCAAAAATTTAATGAAGATCGAATTTTGATGGAGACAAATATTTAAAATTTTGATCATTCATAAACCTTCCCTGGGGTCCCTAGATGTCCCACAAAAAATTTGGGCCCGACCGGTTCAGCCGTTTTGACGTTTATTGGATACAAACAAACAAACAAACAGACAAGATATATAGATGTAACATGTTCCCAATTAATATAAAATAATAAATTTTAAAAAAACTTACAAAAGCAGATCGTCGTTAGGCCCCTTCCTTAGAGATGGGTTGGGTCCCTTGGCCAGGGAAGGTTTTATAACATCAGCATCTACCAGGTCTTCAGTTATACCTGACAATCTAGATAGATAGATAATAGATACAGTGAAACCCTTAATAACGAATAGATCAGCAGAAATTATTAAATGTCGTCTTGACAATTTTTCAATGAGTTTCATGCTATATTTAGTAAATTTCAGTATTTTCGAAAATAAATAAATAGCCATGAATATGCGGGAACAGTTTTAAAGAGTTCCATATAATCATTTAATTAAAAAACTAAATATCTGCAACATTCCATTATCAGAAAGTGAAGAATACGACATTTGATGAATTCTTTCGATGTATTCGTAATTAAGGGTTTCACTGTAAAAAGATAGGTAGATCGAGAAAAAAGAAAGAAAAAGAAAGAAAGGAAGAAAAAAACCGTATTTTACCCAGATGTTCCAGAAACTCTTTTTCCTTTCCCAGTTGGAGCTTTTTTTGGTTCATGCTTCGGAGATTTCGGGTTTTCAATTTCGAGGATTTTCCGCACAGGTTTAGGAGATTTCTTCCTCTCAGCACGCTCTTTGGCCTTCTCTGCCTCTTTTTGTTTCTGACGCTTCAGATCATCTTCTATCATGGCTGTTATTAGATTGTTTGCCTGGAGTAAAAGAAGACTTGCATAGTTTATAAATTAAGAAATTGGAACACAGAGATTTAAAAGTTGCAAGCTCTTACATCTTAAATTGTCAGAAATCAATAAATAAAGAAATATAATTTGTCAAACCTGTTCTTCATCGTAGAGTACAGATTCCAGAGCCATGAACAGAATTCTTTCAGGGATTTCAAACTTGACCTCATACTGAAGTACAACAATAAACCATGAAAGGCAGTATAACTGTTTAAAGTAAAGTAAATTCCTATACTGTGGTACAGTAAACCATAAATTGCAGAAAAGTATAGTAAATATATATACTGGGGTACTGTAAACCATAAAATACAGAAAAGTATAGTAAATATATATACTGGGGTACTATAAACCATAAAATACAGAAAAGTACAGTAAATACATATACTGTGGTACT